TTTATTACCCTTGAGGGTGATAATTCGAAAATGATCCTTTGTGGAAAAGAATTGAGCCACCCAGTTTAAAAAAATACGGGCATGTTTTTCATACCTTGTAAATACTTCTGTGGGGATATTCCCCTGAAAATAATATATAATAGGCTATTTGAGTTGATATATTTGTTATTCTTGAGGGGAAGATATTTATCTTATTTATCTTTTTAGCATCAGGGACCACACCAAAACATGGGCATTTGAAGAAAAGTAGGGAGGAGGTGTTAATATGTTTAATTGTAAATATCAAGGAAAAAGTCTTCAAAACAGATTTTTTTTTTGGGGGGGGGGGGTACAGTTTTCTTAGATTTTATCCAAATGTTTTTAAAGATGATGAATTAGAAAACATGACAGAAAAAAAAAATTAAATATGTTAAAATAGACATTTTCAAAAGAAATCAAGATTTCCTTATTCTGCACTGAGTGAACTATTTATTACTAAAGTGATATATCCAGAACTGTTACAAAAGATTTAACATTTCTATTTGTAAAAATCAAAAAATCAAAATAAATCTCTTTTTATCTAATGTATAGATGATTTGACGCTAAGATAAGGAAAGAGAAAGGCAAATATATGCTTACGGAATCGTACCGCGTTAAACATCATTTTTGTGATATGCACGACAACGCGGCGCGTCTAAAAAAGAGATGACAGAGGAAATATGAAATAATTAATGTTATTGAATCACTAACGATTACTCTTTGGGGAAATCTTCACCAGACAAGCTTTTATTTTCTGATCATTGAAGAAAGGTATGCACTCTATCCATCACTGCGTATGGAATTTTTTTCTCTATCTCTCTTTTTTTGCTTTTATTGCAAAAACTCCATACTGTTACTCAATTCTGATTTTTTTTTTTTTCAATTTTCTATTTGTATAATTAGAGTGTCATTAATGTTTTATTTCTATTGAACATTTGCATTTCTAGGATTATTGATGAAGTCCTAAAATACGACAAACCTTTGATTTATGGAATTGATGACTATGACACAATTGGGAATAATTTGTAAATTTTGATTTTATTTGAGACTTTATGACAAATAGATAACTTTTTTTTCTTTAATCATGCTCTATACTTTTACATTATCCAATCCAATATTACAAAAACTACATAAAGGGGAAAAAATATGAAAGAAAGATGTTGCACATACAAAAGGTGATATTTTCTAATTATTTTTTTTTTTTCATATTATTGGAATCTGGATGAAAATTGCAATTTGTATAGAAAGTGAAGAATGATCCCAACAAATCATTTCTTAAACATTAAACTTTCAGACTGCACTGTTGGGAAATCACCGTTATGATTTCTGAATCTTTGATAACCATAGCAAGAATAAATATTAATATGCACTATTCGAGTGATCTAGCTTCGTATTATCAAACAAATGACAAATTGCTCTTTCTTTAAAAAAAAAAGAAGAAGAAGAAAAAAAGACTAATTCTTCTGGTACATTTGAATAATTTATTTGAACGGATAAGATGATTTTATGTTAGATTCCCATTAACTTGATTAAAATCATTGTCTACTCAGACACTTTTGTTACAATATTAGATATCATTTTTTTTTTAAAAATGAATTTTATATATTTTAATGGGTCTAGAGCATGTTTGAAAGGATTAAGAATTTGTTTGAATGTAAATTTAGTCTGAATTATAAATGCTTTATATGAATAATTTTAACGACGTGCCTTTGCTCATTCCTCGCTCAACTTTGATGTGGTCTCTTGTTAAAATAAATGCGATATAATGGGTTTTTTTATATTATCAACAGTGTCCTAGATATGGGAGAACCCTAGATATGTATGCCTAGAAAATATTACCAAATCCCATTTGACACCTTAACACAAAATCGCACCCTTTATTCTTCTTTTAAAACACTTTTTAAAACAAATTTGATTGAATAAATCAAAGGGATTTGAACAACTCCTCCTTGTGATCAAAATTTTAATGTTTCCTCGCCCTATATATCATGGTTTTTTTAGGAACCGGAGGCACCCCCCCCCCCCCCGCCACCCATAAGTTTGCCGATATATACATGTAGGATAATATAGAAATATTTACCTACTGAATGCTTGTTTTTTAAATTCTGCCTGTCAAGGAATTCTGGTACTTGATAGTGGCTGATAACCATAGCAAGAATGAATATTGCTTCCTACGGGTCTGTATAGGATAATATTTCATGCAAATAACACATAAAAATGTAATTTTTGATAAAGTACTTTCTAGTTAAAATAGTTTTTACAGTCGCTTAACTTTTTCTTAAAATTATATTAGTCATTTTAAACAAGTATTAAAGACAGATGATACAAACAAAAAACTGATGCCTCGATTGGTATATATTTCTGGGCCTATTTTTGTTGCAAATGATGCAACTTATAAATTATAAAAAAAATTAAGAAAATGTAAACCTATGATGTTCAAAATTCTGCCTTTCTGCAACCATTCTTATAAATCTATACAATTTTTTTTAAAACTTCAAATCCCATTATTGTTAAACTTTAAATGAAAAATTAAAAACAACGCGATTGAGCTTATTTTTTATTATTTAAAGTTTATTTGAATTATCTTCGTTAAAAACGAAAAAAAAAAATTAATTCTGCTTTTTTATCAATTTTGATTATTTAAGAAATCGTATTGTTATAAATCGAAAAGTCATAAAGTTATAAATTTATAATAAATAGGAGAATAAAAATTATACATGTACATGTATATATTATACATATTTGAATTGTCTATTTATTACTTTTATAATTTCAAATTCTTATTTAACAGTGGCGGATCCAGGAATTTCTAAACGGGGCGCAGTAGAAAACAGGGGTCTGGCGGCTGTACTGAAGCCCCCAGTGGGTCTAAGGCAAGTCCTTTTTTGGGGTCGGGGGAGCCCCGGAAGCCGAGAATTTCTTACAAATAAGAAATGTTTTTCCTTGATTTTAGGATAATGGACACACAGGCACCTGACGTTACTTATTTTTCTTTTAATAAGAAAAAAAATATACACATGTTTATTATTCGGTATGTGTATATTTTTTTTATTAAAAGAAAAATAAGTAACGTCAGGTGCCTGTGAATGGACATGTAAATTTTACATACAAAAATTTCAAACGGAGGGGGGGGGGGGCACGCCCGGCGCGCTGGCCCCGCCTTTGTTTAAAATAAGGGTGTGTCAAGTTATTTGTGTTTTAGCGCTAGCACAGTGAAGTTCAGTAAGCGGTTTATGTATACAATTTAGGTATTTACCTCCGCCATGCTTTTGAAGTACGTGAAAGTGTCACAAAATCATTTTCTGTCTAAAGTATATGTGTATAAACTCTATATTGTTTATGTTTGTTACTATCTACCATTATATATATATATATATATATTATATATATATATATATATATATATATATATATATATATATATATATTATATATATATATATATATATATATATATATATATATATATATATATATATATATATATATATATATATATATATATATATATATATATATATATATATATATATATATATATATATATATATATATATATATATATATATATATATATATATATATATATATATATATATATATATATATATATATATATATATATATATATATATATATATATATATATATATATATATATATATATATATATATATATATATATATATATATATATATATATATATATATATATATATATATATATATATATATATATATATATATATATATATATATATATATATATATATATATATATATATATATATATATATATATATATATATATATATATATATATATATATATATATATATATATATATATATATATATATAATATATATATATATATATATATATATATATATATATATATATATATATATACTACATTTGTTTATATTACCATGCCACATAATGCCACTTATATTACCATGCCACATAACCTAGTATTTGATGTTTGTTATTTTTACTATAAGATGTATGTCTTGGGCAATAAAGATTATATATATGATGTGTATATTAAAGCAAGAGAGGTAATTCAAATTCACGGTAAGTTTTTTTTCATCAATATATGAAAAAGAGGAAGTTATCTTTCTTGAATAATGCGGTGCATGAAAAAATCTTTCTTTTGTAGCACTAGTGACTTTGTCAATGTACCATGTACATGTACCAATTATTTTAAATCATTAATAATTATATTGTCTAATGAATTTCAATGACATATGATGTAAGGTACACTTTTTCTAAGAGTGTCGTAATCAGTGACGTTTTGAAGTCTAAATTAACATTGTGATTCGATTTATCCGCAAAAGTATTCCTATTTTGGTATCCATAGTCCAAATACCTGGCATAACCACAATCTATGGTCGTTGAATCAAAGAATATAGATGTTGTTTTCGATTTAATAATATAGTTCTAAAATCAAAGACGATAAAATTGCAAGTAAAATTAGAAAAAAGTGCTTGTGTTCTCCCGGACCAAGTGACACCCCCAACCCCCCAAAAATCCTTCTTTTAACCTCCTCTTTTTTTAAAAAAAAATTCTCGTCCCATTAATTCTTATTTTAATATAGTATTCGCAAGTTTATCTTCATAAATAAAATTGTTCTACCTATTTACCGGGAGTCTATACAAAGTCATGTACTTTTATTATTCTGAGTCTGAGAGGGCAATCTAACATATTTTTAAAGATGGCTCTAGAGATTCACTTTTTAAAAATGAATTTGAGGGCTTTTTTGTTTAGCGACAGCGACATAAAATTTAAGCTGTTCTATTCAAATTTAAATTGTATTTGCATAAATCCATGTATTTACAACCATCACATTTTCGAGATGCTGGGAACAAAGTTTTATATGTACAATACAACCTTTATCAATAAAATAGAGTTATTCTACTTCACAAAGCATCAAACAATACAAAAAATCTAATTCACGAACATGTATATCTAGTATAAAAATCAAGTTCTGGAAAAGGTATCAACATGCATTAGTTCTTCTGATGTATTAAATTCATCGAATAAATTTCCGTGAAAATTTTCTCCGAAGTCCTCAGACGGCGTATCCACTACAGATCCATTCATATCATCCGATGAAACACTGCTCTCTTTCCGTACTCGAGCTAAAATAAACCCTCCTTCTGTAATATTGTTTTCGATCCCATTCGGTTCACCTTGTTGTTTTCCGGACGCTTGTTTCAGGTTCTCCGACACCGACTTTCTCGTGCCATATCTTTTATCAGTCTTCTTTACAAAAGAGTCGTCTTCTGCTAGCTCAGCTAGGCGACTGATATATAGAGTTGACTTCTTTAAAATTTCTAGTTTACTCATCTTTTTAGTTGTCCACTCTTCCGGTAATTTATCTCGGAGAATTTTCAACATGTCATTAATAACTCGAACTCTTCTCCGCTCCCTCGCGTTTCTCCTCGACATTCCGCAAATATTGAAAACATTTTAAATAAATGCACATAAAAATGCTCCTGATAATGATGATAAACGTAGTGATTTTTTTGTGAAAATTATTTTCACAAATGGTTGACCCTAATAATGCAAATTATCACCCAATAATAGGAGGGAACAAAAACACAATGAAAATAGAAGATTCAGACATCAGCTTAGGTCATACTATATATTTCATTTCTTAAATTTCTAGAATAACACGATAATCGTGAAATAAATTTGGAATGGTTGGCGTATTACAAAAGGATTTAGAAAAGTTTCCAAAAAGACTACATGCATAACTCGATCGCACCATCTAGGTTGTCTTTAAATTGTCTAAGGTGTAGAAATTTGAAATAAGAACTGAATTCAAAAGAAACTCAAATTAATCTCAGCCTGTTACGTAAAATACAGACAAAAATAGAATAGCATGCGGGGCAGTTTTGGACATAAAGACCCTTCGACAATTTTATAAAGGAAAAAGACATATTTATTTCATTAAGAGTTATTTCCCTTTTCACAATATCGATGGACCTTAAGTTATTGGTCAAGAGATCAATAAGTAGAACATAAGCATGTCATATTTTCGAAGCATACTTTTAAAAGAAATGTTGAAACGACTCAAACTTTTTGTTTTGAATGCAAAATCAAAGAAAAACTTGTGTAACCGGGGTAAACAACACTTAACACTATTGTAAACAGTAGCAGATAGCTATTGATCATGTCTTCTGAATAAGAAACAATTGTTTATCTGTTGACACGTGGATTTAGAGTATAGAATAAATGAATTTCTTTTATAAGTTTGGTTTGTCGAGTTGTCTTCAAAGAATTTAAGCATTTTCCTTTAAACAAAACTGAATGTGGGCGGATCCAGCACCGTGAAAAATTATTTTCAGGTTACATGGACGAAAATAAGAAAATTTTACGTTAAATCCATTCCTTTTGAATTGACTCTCATTTAAATCTTTAAATATCTAATATTACATAAAAATGATGCATACGTGTAAATAAGCCACCATACATAAAATTAAAAAGAAGAATTTTCAAGGAGTAATAATTATATATTTTTAATGAAATTCAAAGTAAAACAAAGGGAACATTGAATACGTGAGTTATTGAAGAAACTAAACGTCAATACTTCAAACAATACTTGGTGGTCCTATTTTCTTACCCCATTTCTATATATACACTAAAAAGGTAAAATGCATTTGTCAAATCAATGTCAGTCGACATACAAAGATATATTTGAACATGCAAGTTTTTTTTTTTAAAAATAAAATTGGAAACATAAAAACCTGCAGGAAATAAAGCAGATGGAATTGATACAAAGAGTAAATATATTGATTTTTTTTCTCTGTCATTCATTTTTTAGTTAACCCTTTTTAAAAATGAGTTTCTATTAAACAGGTTGGAACAATTCCCAGTAAAGTGTTAATTCGGTCAGGTATGGATATCGAGAAAAATTGTCAAAGGCATAAACTAGACCTTAAAGCTCTTATATACAATATCCATTAAAGATACAGCTAAAATCTACATTTCATCTTCGTTAAAAACATTTTATATTTTAAAGACAATCCGGAAACATTGTATTGTAGAAAGAGTATTCATAATTTTTACGTACTTGTATTTTAAATTCCCAATATTTGCAGATAAATAATATTTCTATCCGCAAACTTTATTGTCTTATTTTTTCAAGAGAAGATGGTCAGTTACCCTATATAAAAACAAACTACAGATAAATTCAAGAATGTAAAACAAAAATCAATATTTTTAAAAGCTTCCTTTTAAATTCTGATATATATTAAAAAGACAATCATTTCTGTAAAGGTTAAATGTATCAATCAGAACCTCTTTCTGGCTGATTTAACATGTAGCTGAACTGTTTAGGTTTATGAGGCATGGTCTATTATACTATTGCTTATTTCTCGACACGTGTATGTCAGATGGTCTCAGACCTGCTTTTGCTGGATTTTACTTTCATCCATTTCCACTTATAGGAAATATTTCACCATACACCAGGTGACTTTTATATAAATACATAATGTCAGCACTTGTACAATATTGATAATATTGTTTAAGAAAAAAATAAACTAAGAAATTCATGTACACAAACATTAATCTTTAAACAAATATACATTTAATATCAAACACTGCAATAGGGTTAAAAAAATACACGGTCTGACAATAAAAATTCTTTACCATGATAGAATTACAAGAAAAGCTTAAGTAAATTTCTTTTATTACAGACTCTGCATAAAAGCAAAACAATTGCATTACATGTAATGTCAATTATTTATATTAACTACACGGATATACAAACATGTAAATTAGCATAAACCCGTCGACGTCTTTATAATAACCAATTTACCGCTAAAAAATCCATGTTTTATCGATGACAAAATATTGACAATCACAGTAGCCAATAGCTTCGGGATTTCTAGCGTTCGATTTTCTGTTCCATTCAGAACAGGGGTTCTCTGTCAATTTACTTAGCATTTAAAATTCTATTTCAACTGTCGCTAAAAACTCGGACTTTTAAGAAGACCTTGTATTCCGATCATTCAAGGTTTGACAGCGACTGTAACGATTTAATTCCACAGTCCTTATTTTAATTTGTCTCTTAAGACTAGTCAGTGACATTTTTAGATAGTTTATTTTTAAGTGATTACTTAGCCCAATATGAGAAATCCTATAGGAAAACTGAAATAATGAAGTCGTTATTTGTGGGAAAAGATAGGTCATACTATCAATTTGACACGACGTAAGCTTCTAAACCTTTGGGAAAACTTTTCTGAAAGTGATTTGATATTTATGGCAATGAGGTATACATTTTACAGCCTAGTGGTGATCTTTATTGGAAGCAACTGGAAACTTTATAATCCGAGGTAAGAAAAAACTGCATGAATTGTTGAGAATAAAATAGATTTCTTTGAAGATGGATGCATATCACAAAATTTTGACTGATTTCAAATAGAAATGCTATAAAAGAATTAATTCTTAGAATATGAAAAATAATTGAGATTTCTCAGTATTTGAAAGACATACGAGGGCTGTTCAATAAATAATGTCCTCGGTGCTCAGAAAGAAGCAAAAGACGCTTTTCAATAATTTAGTCTTCATGATTTTACTAACTAATCTCTTTTAAGTAAAATACATGTCCGTAAATTTTTTATCCAATTTCTGATTGTTTTTAGAACTCATTTTTGGGTATGACCCTTAGTATACTGGAAAATGGCAAATCCAGTGATTTCCCGGACTTGTTTTTTCCCTCTGAAAGGTGTTTTTTTTCAAGTTTGGAAATAGAAACAGGTCAAAAGGTCAAAGATCTGGCGAATATTGTTAATGTGAAAAAACATTAACTTTCTGTTTAACCCGAAAACCCCTTTACTCTTCAGGGCATGCAGGTTTGGACGCTGTCTTGGAGAAATTCAATGTAGTGGATTCCTGATTCTGGGTCCTTCCTCTAATAAACCTTTTGATTTTTTTGCATAAAAATTGCTTTCTAGACTCCTCCAGAAATTAAACTGTCTCTCCGAATACGAATTTGAACAACAATACCACTAATTTTTTAAGAAAATTACATAAAAATCTGTCTTTGTGCTCTTGAATACCTGTGTTCTTGTCAGACATTCGCCGTTTTTATCAAGTACATCTTATGGTAAATTTTGTTTTGAGGGTTTTAATCAATAGATTCATGCTCCAATATCTGTTTGAAAATAAAACAAACTTGGATAACTAAAATTACTGATATTTTAAAATAATTGTTAAGAATTTCGTATACGCTGTCGTTTTCACTCATTTTTCAAAATATAGGGTGACCTTTGAGAACCAAGCTTTTTTTATCGTCAAACGTTTCTTAAAAACAGTGTAAACTACTCCCGATATGATGTCTATCAAAATTGCTATGTGTCTTAAAGTCAATCATACATCATCAAATATTATTTGTTGAAATTTGGCAACTAGTACATAAGTTGTTATAATTTTTGTTGGCAAGGAGGGTACCCATTTTTGATGCCCATTATATAATTTTTTATCATTGAAATCCACCCGCTCTTTTGTCTATAAAACAGGCATTGGTTGCTGTAAATGTCATATATTTCAGTGAATATTTCCTTGCGATTTGTGACAAGTTTTACGGCAGCTATAATGAAACTTTTATTTTCACTCTAGTTTACTGATACTTTACCATTCATTTATAATGCAGTGTCTCGAAAAGCCCTTGTTTCCCAGCTTTTCACGATGAAACTATGTGATGAAAAGTGGTCACATAAACTGTTATAAATTCATGAAAGATTCAATAATGAGAGAAAGTCAAGCTTAATGTCATATGATATCTGTAATGTATAATATATGTTCAGGACATTATTTATTGAACAGCCCTCGTATGCGACTTTTACTATATGCATATAAATAAAAAAAATTTAAAAAGGTTTTTCGACATATTGCAAAATCTTGCATATTTTCGAATTGCAAATTGTTGGCAAACAGCATGGTATCTATTGTTTTTTTTTTTAAAGTATCATATTCGAAGACTATAACAGTAGTAATATGCGTGTGTTTCATTTATACAAAAAGAAAGTCTAAGTACTAACTCAAACATTGGGATCTATAGAGTTGTGTTATGAAAAATCTTTACATTTTTTACCAGGATAAATACATGTACCTGTTTAAAAACATAAATATAAAAACAAACACATCAAAATTCATAAGTATATCTGTTAAAGCTTATATTACATGGGTCCCTATAGGAAGCAATTTCAGCTGGGGAGGGGGAAATTAACCTATCAAAATTATTTTTTTTGCAGACTCCCACCACAACCTCCTACCTCACCCCAGTTGTTTATGGTAAATGAAATAAGTTTATGAATTTAGGAATTTTCAGCGTTTTTTAAGTGTATAATTTGCCAATTTGTCTAACACTGACTCATTGTTTTGCACATAAAATTTTGGAAGGCAGAGCTTTTAGCGAATTTTCAGAGGGCTATAAAACATTTTTTTTCATCACAACTACATATAATGGCCTACGAGATTTTTCTCAACACTTCACCTTCACTTAACAGTAGATTGAGGTAGATCAGAGTGTTGAGGCAAATTTATGTCGAAGGGTTAAAAGGACTATTTCTTCTGAGGAAAAAAAATCAATTAAATGTTAAACTTTAAGTTAAAATCAATGCAGAAAAGAATTCAAATTTAGAGAGACTTTAATATATCATATATGAGTTTGATTAAATCGTTTTAAAAAATGAATTGATTTAAGTTGAGAAAATAACCTAAATTGATATTTATTTTCATTGAAACTGATATAATGCTTAATTGATAAACCATCTGCATTAAAGTTTGCCATGTTCAATATAATCCGATATCCTTAAGTTAGTTAATACTGGTCTTCTTAACAAACAAATAGTAAACATCTCAAATTTTAGAAAAATCCTAAATTAATCAGACTCGAGATGAAATGTAAATTGATGTATTTTTCCCCCTGACTAGATTTAAAATTGCATAATGTAATTCATATTTGCGAAGTAAATTAACTAAAAGAAATTCTTTTTTCATATTCGAACACTTGAAAAGAAGAGTCACTTAATCGTTGGTTTCTCATCTTAAAAGTATTGGAAAAAGACTGGTGACCCATGCACATTATGTGAAGAATCTTTAAATTATTCTTAAATAAATTAAGGATCTGTATACTTCATGCCAGATGTTTAAACAGCGTGATCATTCAAATTGCTTTTGGGATATATGTGTATTGAATGACCAATATGGGGAAGACCTTTTGACGAAAAGAATTTAGAAATCAAATTTTTATATCACATACATGACATAACGTTAATTTGTCTTTACATTTTTATACCACAGACTTTGAAATTCTAGAATACCGTGTAACCATTACTTGGTTGTAAACAAGTTTCTCAGATCAAATGTTGATCGTTACATGTGTATCACTTGAAATTAAGCAGCCAAAGTTATTTTTTTTTCCCTAGAGATTAAAATTTCGATAATCTCTCATTGTGTACAAGAAGTCAAGGGTATTCTTTCACAAACATGTATATAGTAGGCCGGAAGAGAGCGATTTTAAAAGCTTTTGACTTTTCAGACTGTCAATCTATTCCAATTAAATTTCCAAAAATTGCCTTGAAGTAACATTCCTTTTAACAACTAGAAGTAGTAGCACTCAACTAGATAATAAGGCATGACTCAATCGTGATATAAATCTGCATTAAAGGCACCATGAAAGAAATAATACTTTTGTATGGAAAGGATAAAAAATGTAAATGTTTTATCGCTCTCTGTTTTGCTTAAATGTACTCGGCAAAATCTTCTGTTCTTTCAAATGCAATACTATACAAAGGTTTGTAATGTTTAAACAAGTTGTTTAATTTCTCAAGGAAGCGTTATATTCAAAGATTGAGTTGTGGGTCTATATAATGAATACTGGACCTTTACAGATTGGAAGTCAAAGCGGAGCATGGCTTTGTGTCAGTGAAATCCTTATACACGTGAGTGCTGGGAAGTCAAAACAACAACAGCTGAAAATCTGAAGACATTATAGATTAGTAAGTTGCTTATACATATTATGTTTTTCTGTCAGTTTACGAAATTAATTCGAGATTTTTAAAATATAAATTCAGTGTTCTCCAATTAAAAAAAAAATGGCTGCAAATTTACATGATACATTGTATATGATCCACTTCGATGTTTAGCAAGTATTTTTAACATTCAAGGTAGTTTTGCTTTTATTCCCATTTGTGTTTTTTGTAACAAAAGGTAATATCAAATACTGTATCTCATAAATGAACTGTGTACTTTAAAATGTTGATATTTTGAATTTTGAGAACATATAGCAATAGACGTAGTTTTTCAGACTTCCTCTAATAGTGTTTAATCTTTGTGCTGACAGATTTGTCTTCCATGTTTGGCTGTGCTTAATTCATTGCTTTTTTTTTTATTACAGAACTTGCAAAAGAAAAAAAATATATGGAAATGCCTTCCAAACAGTCAAATGAGAGGTTTCTCAGAGCCGACAGACGAAATCAGCTCGAAAAAGTTAAACTAGAGAGAAAATTAAAAATCTACGATAAAGAGAAATGGTGCAAAGCCTTGGAAATTGACCGAGAGAAGAAAGCATTTGCTAAATCTTTGGACGCTGTTCGGAGAACCTCTGGATTTAGTGATCAAGGAATACCTCCGGATGGTAAGGGAGATACTGAATACCTGAGTGCACCTGTGTATCGAATGGGAGTACGACTTAGTGAACAGAGGTTAATGGGATGGCGATCTCAGGAAGAGGAGGAGAGGAAACGATCCTGGAGTTCGAATCGCTTATCGAGTCATCGAACGTCGAATACCATCGATAATCGTCGGCAAGAAAACGATGTCTTAAATTACGATAATGAGGTATATGATGACAATGTTTTCTCGGATGATGAATCTATTAAAGATTTGGCATTCGATCCTAAGCATATGGCTAAGCATATCATGGATAGCTATAAATCGTTGTTTAATCAAGATGACTTTAAACTTGATAAAGATAATGTAAAAAGAATACGATCGGCGAAATTCTGTCGCTCCGTAAGTGAAATCGATCTAGGTGTTGAGAAGAAATCTAAACAAAGACCTCATACGGCAGTATCGTCAGTAAAAAGAGGACGAGGTGCTTCTCTTCCTCTACCCCAAAGGCCTTCGACTGCCGCAGCATGCAGAACAACAAAAGATAATGTCGTGCTTTTGAAACCTCTGAGACCCAAGTTTTTAAGACATCATAATTCTAGTAACGATTTTGATTCAGATGGAACGGACGATGTCGATAGTTTGAACTTATCTTCTCAAAGTATTACAAACGCGAAAGACTCAGCAAAAGAAAACTCGGAGAGAAGTATAAAAGAGGAAAGTCATTTTGAAAACGGTTCTAGTAAGCAAACGCACAGAAAACTTCATCATCGTGTGTCATTATCAAGAATGAACGACGGGACAAATGCGGAACCCATTCCTGAAGATGGTATTCTGAAAACTACTTACGAAAATAACAAAATAAGAAAATCTTCAGAGTCACTTGGTTCAGACAAAGCTCAAAGGTGCAAGTCAGCCAAGCAGAGGAAAAACTCATCCGCAATTCCAATGCAATCTATACTGGAAAATGGGGAAATGAAGTACTCAAATTCTAGTGACGTAAACACAAGTGACTCTGAGTCCGACTTATCTAATTCTCGCAGAGCACGAATATCTTCATCAAGACAACGCCACCTTAGCGGAAGCACAGTGACGTCAGACAGCAGGGACTACTTTCCTGGTAGTAGCGTCTACAGTAGCATGAGTGATTTAAGTTTGGATTCCAATGGACAGAGACGACCTAGTAAATGGCGGGAATTTGTCTGTGCAGACAATGCTAATATTCCATCGTCGAAGACTCTGGTTTCTGTGACAACGGTTTTAAGGGCTGCTCTTGCTTTCTCCAAAACAGCAAGGAAGCGAGCTCTTGGTCAACTCGTACAAGAACAGAGTACAGACGCAAACGAAATCATTCGTCAGGAAAGGCTTCGAAGATTAGAGTCGAAAAACAGTATTTTAGCAGCTATATCTCAAAATTTTGCAATCAACGTTGACAAAATGAACCATGGGGAATCGCCCGATGCTTTTCATTGATTTGTCTTTTCTAATTTTTTTTTATTTTATATTATTATGCTTCCTGTCAGTTTGTCTCTATATAACCCCTACCCTACTATTCTCGCATAGTGGTCTAAGGATTTATATAGCGTAAGCATACTATGCTGAAATAGTGCACGGCTTTATTTATGGAAGAAAATTCTTCAATGCACACACCGGGGATCGTACTCACAACCATGAGAGTGTCGGTCCGATGCGTTATCGATTACGCCACAGAGACGATCACCAATTGGTAGAATTTTATTATATATATAATCTTAATTTATACAATTGACACAAGAAGGAGAAAATAGACTAATATTATTTGAAAACAGTTATATTATTCTAAGGAACCTTGGATTAATGTGTACAACAAAGATTCAAACTAATTACATACAGATCGTTAGATGAACTGATTTCATAGGATCATTAAAACGCTTTTTTATATGACGCTTGATTGAAGGATGTAAAAGAAAATTATCAATGAGAATCGACGTCTGCAAACAAATAAATCTTACTAACAAAACAGAAAATAAAGATGAGTTGCTTTGGGACAGAAAATCCCGACCTATTTAGAGAAAATACTAATAACCAAAATAAGTAAGCATGCAACCAATTTTAGCATGAAGATTTTGAATGAGTTCTTGCAAGTGCGCTGTGTTAGCACCGATATTTTCAGGAAAAAGTCAAATGGATTGCCGCATAAATAATTACAACAGTCAGCATAATAATAACAATAGTGTTGCATTATGTATGTACTATGCCTAAATAGTAGGCAGGGTTTGACACATAGTGCACTCGCCTCCGGCTCGTGCACCATGTGTCAAACCCTGCCTACTATTTAGGCATAGTACATGCATAATGCAACACTATTATATAAATATACGGTTGTGATATTCTTTCATTTCAGACAACGTAAATAAATTTCATTGCAATTATAACAAAGATATTGAATCATTTCCATTGAGACTATAGATTTAATTTAATCAAAGTAAGTTAAAGTATAGAACATATGTTGAAGAGAGAGAGATTCAGAAAAATGTTATTAATTTTGATCCCGAAGTTCACATAAATACTTCAAACAAAATATTAAAGGTATGCAGAATAGGTGACGTCAGAGAGAACAATTTCAGCATTTATAAAGTGGCATATTACAATATACACTGTGATGTCTATAAGCCCATAGTAAATATTCATTCACACAATTTCAAATTGAACAATTAGGACAAAATATTGACACAATTAAAAGCTCATCAAGTTCGATTCATCAGCCGGCATTTTATTATTCACCTACTTTAGTAGTAAGTTGATTGTTGATTCGTTAAAACACGATGAAGTGTAAAGCTTTTATATTTCTTTTGTTAATGACGTCAATTTGAGAAATTTTGTTAAATCCCCTTTAAAACAATATTGATTGACTATTTTTTTTAAAGGAGCAAACATTTAATTTAACTAGGTACGTTAGGGTTTCTTCTTTTGTTACTCATAAAGTAGGGCATGAATTTAAGAAGTTTCTTTAACTAATATTTCTTCTTTTAACTTGCACGATTAGCGAACAAATATTGATGAATTCGACATTGTGAAATGTATACAATAAAGTATGTCAATAGGTTCGTGCTAATTGGCGTAGCTATGGGTCCTCATTATTTTGTTCTCTGGTACTATGTACAAACAGATATCATATTATTTATATTGTTACATATGTACTTACCAAACAATAATTAGGGATTTTTTTTCAATATCAATGGACTTCAACGATTTGGAGATTATTTACCAGAGAGAGAGAGAGAGAGAGAGAGAGAGAGAGAGAGAGAGAGAGTTTTCTTGATAGGATGCAGCCAATATTTCAAGTAACAAAGAATAGTTCATTAGCCGTGTGGTTCCATTTAATCCCAAAGACGGATATATGTAGCTCTTGGCATTCAAAGTTAAAAAAAAACCGAACATGTACCTATTGAATGATTTTCCTCCATTTGTGATTCCCATATCATTATTTGTTGATTTGCCATTATAACATTATTTATAAATAGGTGTGTCTACCCTATCATGGATTATCAAAATAAAATCAAGAGAAGTTAATTGAAAACAAACATTCTATATTTTTCGTTGACGGGGAAGTGATTTATAAGAATTCAATGTTTAATCTAATTAAATCCTTAACTAATGCCTTCTCCTTTACTGTCTCCGATACTTAGACCTACTTTTTCTTTTCTTTTTAAACATTTTAAAGTCAACTAGATTTTTATCAATAAAAAGGACTGGTGTAATAAAATATTTATTAAACTCAGGATTTTTTCTTTGGGGTGTAAGAAATATATGGACGTAATTTACATGGTTACAGAGAGAGAGAGAGAGAGAGAGAGAGAGAGAGAGAGAGAGAGAGAGAGAGAGAGAGAGAGAGAGAGAGAGAGAGAGAGAGAGAGAGAGAGAGAGAGAGAGAGAGAGAGAGAGAGTAAAAAAGATAAAAAAAACTCTATTAATATTATACGGCATATCTTTACATGTAGAAAAGCACATATTTGATACGTATAGATACAGGCTCATGTGTAGCTATAGTCATCTTGCATAGCTCGCCACACGTAAAGAAATTAAGAGTCTGTTATTAATAAAATACCAAATTAGAATAATAAATACACTGTGTATAGACATATTTTTGTACATGTATAATAACTTATTTTCTAGCCTCATTAGAAAACATGCAAACAATCCATTTGACCACATGCTGTTCGATAGGAAAACACCAAGATAGTGTTCCTATTTCATGAGCTTCACGCTGGCGCCATTGTTTTTCACACGGTGTTCGAAGGCTCTTCTTATGTCGTGTGTTCGAGAGTCAAATTATGTATTTATCTCTTTATTTTTAGACCAAACTGTAGCTAATTTTCTTAAATCGGCAAAACGATTCTTTTTTCCGTGATAATTAAGCTACTTCTACTAACGGTAAATCGGAATCCATTCTTTGATCCATTTATGAAACTATCATAGATGCTAATGATGATCCCGAATTGCCTTCGATAATGATTATTTTTTGGGTATAAATATACAGTCAAGTTAAAAATCTTCATGATGAGAATTACAATGTCGACCACAATATGTAGCGTGAAACGTAATTCCAGGGAGAGAAAAAGAGTACAGCACATCAACGTTATAATCCAAAAACTCAAGGAAAAGCTTCCGGTTGAATGGACGAGTAAGAAAATGGGGAGACTGGAAATTCTTCAGAAGTCTACCTTGTATATAAAACATCTGATGTATGTACTAAATGACTGTCCAGAAAATGGAGCATGTACACCAACTGTAAAGGTAGATTGTGATATGGATAAAGAACGGAACAGGATACGTAATGTAGAAATAGCACCGGGTTCGGACCAACAATACATGTATCATCAGTTGGCACCAGGTGATGATGTAACAAAACTGAGTTGTGACAAGACAGTGTTGCCTCGTTTTTCACCAAGTAAAAGTGAAATAAACTTATTTGAGAACGAGGAATACGATAGGATTTTAATTCCTTCTTATCCTTCACGTAGACCAAGTTTTCATCAAGATTTAGAACCCATTGAAATGAAGGAGGGTAGCACGGAATGGACTTATTCTCAGTCTAACGAAAAATTAATACTCTGACTGTGTATATGAATCCGACAAAAAAATTCCTCGGACAGAGGGTTGGATTTTAAACTGATTTGTAAGAATTGTATAATTTAAATGCGGAGATATGAGCTTTCAAAATGAAGCAAAGACGAGTTATTCCCCTTAAAATGTGTTCTGGCGATCCGAAGATATGCATGTACTAGTCAATTTATGATATATTCAATTTTGATTTTTGAGTATTCTTTGCTATTGTACTTTGTATTACTTTGCTGTATACATTTACATAATATATTTACTTACAATAAAATATATAAAACAAAACAGTTCTAATATTTTTTTTATTAATGGTCTCATGTCTGAATTTAAATATCGAAATCAGTTGTAATTATTTGAGCTATTATTTTATTAATATTTTTCGTTTTGATTTTAAATTGTGTTTTATCTTTGTGTAAAATATATAATCATTTAAAAGGGATTTGAACACAGTTCTGAAGTAAGTTTTTTCCCCCTAAAAATTTAGTATCATATCATGACATATGTTTGACGAGAGAGCATTTTGATCACACCGTAAAATAATAAGTGTTTTTAGAGACTTCTTTTGTCAGCAAATTAATAACCTACGAATTTCTGGATGAGTTTGATTGACAAACCTCCCTACACTTTCTCCTAGTCAACAATATCCTTAAAATGTAAGGAAAAAAGATTATATATGTCGTGCATCAGAAAATTCATAGTACATGTACTTAGTATTTGATTCGAGAAAGTGAAATCAACTCACCAGTATTGTCTGTCTGTGCTCAGCAATGTTATGATCGAACAGAACTCGAGCCCATGTTAAATTTACAAACACTGATGATGTTTGACATGTTCCGAAGAATGGCATTGTACATGGATTCAGTAAGAATATAATTTTCATGAAGTTAGATGTTTATAAAAATAAGGTTATTTTTAATTTCAAAAGTTGAAATTGAAAACTAATAAGCAATGCAACTGGAATGAGAATTCTTTTTTTTTTTTTTTAAACACATCATTGCACATGCACCAAAGAATTGATGCTATGCGCGATAACTCCGTAAATGTGAAAAATATGCAAATCCACCTTGCAAAAATAATGTGATAGTTTTTTGCATTCTTCAACCATTTACGCTTCTTCTGATATACAGTGTATTACTTGTAATTTTTGTTTTCCTATGTTCTCTAATTCTTGCTTTTTACTATATAATTCATCAATATAATTTTCACGAACATTAGCGTGATTTTCTTCCAATAATTTAAAACTTTATTAAATCAATTCTCTCTTCTTGTTTTCTCTTTTCTTTTTGATTTATACGTATGATGCATACGAAGTATTTCTGAAAGCAGAGTTTCTTAAAATAACTGATCATTAACAGTAAAAGAAACATATGCATCTGATCTGGAATATTATCTATGTTGCCAAAATTGTACATGCACACTGGAATTGCATATTGTTTCTCAACCTCTATACATTTTTAATACATATATAATCTATAGACAAATCTCGTCATGAAGTAAAGAGTCGCATTAACCTTCCATAACTCCCATAATAGCCATTAAAGCTATACAGAAAGTTAAAAGAACATTATGGAGTCGTCTGATCTATGATACATGCACTTTTAATTTCTGTAATCCTGGCAAGAGGGTACGTGAATCTCTAAGTTCACGACTTTGTTTCAGTACTGTTTACAGTGTTTCTTCTCCATGAATATCTATATATGCTCTTTTTTATGTCAAGCACTGTTTGAAATAATAATAATATATGAATTCATAAAGCGCTAAATATTAATATATGGTAAAAATTATTTAATGAAAGGGTCAATATATCAATTATTTTCGATTATTTCCAAAAAAAAATCTCTCTCTCTCTCTCTCTCTTTTTAAATTTTTTTTTCTCTCGGGTATTTGTAAATTTACAATATATATATTATTATATAATAATACAAATCTGGATTTAAAATAGATTGAATTCACAAAATGATCAAAATACTCTGTAATGCATTTCTTTGAAAATTGACAAAATACATGCATGCATGTATGATATGTATATTTTATCAGTTATATAGCATATCATCAATATGTTTTTGTCAATTTTCAAAGAAAAGTGGTGTTTCAAAATTTGGATCATAAAAAGTACATGTACATATCAATACTCCTTTAGACAGCATGCTTTAAGAAAAGTAAAATTCCCATCAACATCTCCCTTAAGTTCTGCAAGAGGTTTAAAATCAAAGTTTTTGTTGACTGATAAGTTTTTAACTGGACACGCATTCATCAATAGTTTAGGTTGGATGTTTTATTCCCCTTTGCTCGAGACTATGGTGGGCGGTGTGGATGAGGGATGAGGCCAAAATCATAGAAACAATCCAAATTCTGTTGAGGTCCTTAATTGCTTTTTGGTACATGTGCACTCAAATATGTAGATATATCTGCTATATTTTGATTTTTTTTTACTATGGGTATAAGGAATTCATTTAGATTTTAAGAAACTGTCCCCACGTACATGTATCTCTTTGTATTAATCTCATGTAGAGGCTGGGACCCGTGCCAGACGTCAGTACTAAGTACTGATTACTTGAAGTGTCCATTTCTGTTCATGTCAGTATAAAATCTTTACATGCAGTTCGTTGACTATCACTTTTTTATCCATGTGTTTGCATATATATGAGACCCAAATTGAGATTAAAGATTTATAAACAGGCAAATCACTCTTTGAAGTTATATTATTTCTGCTCAACATTTCATGAATTATTAATGAAGTTTATTAATTTACATTTTGTAGCTTTACTGGCATGGACACTTTCCCCCAAATCATTTTTGACTTCGCATGCATTTAAATTCAAGTAAAGCACTGGAATATTTTTTTAATCACATTTTTGAAGATTTATTTGCTATACATATCTAACTTGTAAGTGTTGTAATTGAAACATTTTTCCTCCGATTTTTTTTCATTACGTCGGGATCGAAATCCTTCTTTTTGCGTCTTTTGCGATATGAGCTGCAACCAAAGAAAACAAACAGAAGTGGGTCAAGATCAAGAGATGCTGAAGGGGAGAAGGTACTTTGGTGCCAAGTGTTTACAGAGCGTTAATCAACATACTGTCCCGAATTATTGTTGTCACATGACAACGCAAAATAGTCGCCGCTTCCGCTGTGAGCAGTAAGTAGGCACGTTTTGTTTTCATGAATCATATAAATCAGCTGATTCGCGTCGATTTTTTGTATCCATTGTTCTGTCAGGAGTTTTCATATTAGGCACTGTAGAATTCCATTCATGTATATACTGTTTTGAAAAGAAATTATTTCTACACCTCTGAATTTAGCGTAAAATGGAGACTAATATATATTTCATGAATGATTTCAGGCCGCAGCTGATCTAGTGCTAGCAGACGATTTTGGGTAAGTGCAATCGTTACATTGGGGTATTTTTATAGGTCATTTAAGGACAACAGTAGGTCTATTTAAAGTACACGTTTAACGGTAAAAAGTATCACGATTATGTTGCATGCTCACCATATTAACATATATGTTCATTTTATTTTTCATAAATTTATTCGAAGAACTTATAAAATTGTGGAAATGATATAGTTATAGTAATAGAAAAAGACATTTATTTGATAATCATATTTTTTTCCCTGTCAGATTTATTTAACATTCAGCAATAAATGAGTTAAAAATGTGTCATTTGAATTTAGATAAAAGGAAAAATGCATAAAAATTGATATTTTTTAAGTACTCTAGCTGTTTATGTTTATAAATAGCTTATCTTTTTATTTCCTTGTTTTAAAATGGGGAAAACAAAAGGGTTCATGCTATAGTATAAAATTACGTCAATTCTTTGGTACACATATCACATATAAACAACTGTTTATTGACCCACTGCTAATTAAAGTAATTGGGAAATAAAATTTTTAGTCATCAATAGTCTTCACAGAATAAAATGTGTATTTTTGTTAATCGAAAGGGGGGGGGGGGGTTGTAGCTATCATGTAGCTTTTCAAATTTATGAACAGTTTATAAAGTATATAGTATTATAGGTATTTTTAGGTATTATAAAAGCTTAACAGCATTTTTTTACTATCATGTCCATTTTGCAGCACTTTTGACACCTTTTTTCAAAAAAAAAGGACATCATTCATGTTAAGATATTTGTACCAAATATAAAGACTTGAAAGCACAATAATGGCCATTGAATGTCTATGTATGTGGGATTTAATTAAATATTCACATCAAATAATGGGAAAAACACTTTAAAACATAATTGATAATGACAAATGCAACCAGACTATGAAAAAGGCATGTGCATCACAATGTATTTACATATTGTAAATTTGGTTACTAAAAATGATATATACTAACAATTAATTTGCTCCAGGAAACTTGAAAAGCAAAGCAATTTTGAATAAACGTAGATTCAAAATATGTTTTTAACTATGAATATTATGCAAACAAACAACATACAATAATTATACTGAATGACATGAAATAACTGTAATGCTGTCAAGGTTAATATCTACAGTTACTGTAGAAAATTATGCACGAAACATTTATAGAGTAACATTTATGATAAAAATTGCTCGAAGATAATTGCCTTGTTATAAAGAAATGTAAATAAATATGCAATCAATGAATGCAATATTACAGCTGTATATGCACACATGTAGTAAATAAGAATTGATGGAATTCAAGGAGTGGGTTTGATAATATGTGATTGTCACCTTGAAAACTGATTTAATTAAAGGTATGTGCTAATGCATACGAGGGTTGTCCCAAAATTTCGTAGACTGAGCTCATATCTTTTAAAGAAATTAATGTATCTTTATACAATTTTCAGGGTGGATAAAGCGTATTCTTGGCAGATACATTACGAAGTTTTATCATGTTAACTTGAAAACTTTTCCAGTTACAAAATTTAAAGTGATACCAGTTACAAAATTTAAAGTGATATAGTTCTCTAACACCCGGAGCAATCTGCAACGTCAAAAAATACAAATGTCAATGCTTCAAATTTTTTGAGAAAATATTTCAATTACCAGAATCAAATTCTTAAATTAAACGAAACGGTTATAGTTATAAATGTAAAATATCTTAATTACTATGATATGATCAAACATTAAAATATGTAAACAAAGTATATGCATGAACAGGTATGAAATAATAATAATTTGAAAACGCTATATTTCTACGGGCTTTTCGTCTATTTTCTCTAATGGATTTGCAAAATGGAACTCTTGCCCATTTCTTAGCCCTGTCTTTTATTTTAATTACTGTTATTGACATGTACATAGAGAAACCGTTTTAGTCTTTTTAAATACTAAGGAGGAGAAAAAGTTTCCTAGTCTACCAAACATTTATGACTGCTATATTTCTGTAAGAGTGAATTCAGGATCAAAACACTTGATCATAGTCCAGTGCGCCGCCTGGGCCAACGCAGCCGCCATTTTTCAAAAATTCGGATTTTAACCCCATGTATACAAAACGTTATAAAATTCATATTTATTGAAGCATACACACCAAAATTTGAGGAAATATAGTTAATAAAACAATATTAAGAATTTTTATTTCCATTAAAAAAAATATAGGGTAGTAATTACTTTTCCGTAGGATTTTAAATATAATATATCAAATTTTAATTGCAACTTTTGGGTATTGCGCCGCCTTCCTACACCAGACAATGAAATGTGTCTTTTAAATTGGAATAATTTGTGTAGTTACCCCATATTTGTCCATAAATTTATTAGATAGTGTTTGTTTAATCTATATACGAAGTTTCATTCATGTATGACGTAGGGTTCCTACAAAACAATGCTTGTCTACGGAATTTTGGGATAACCCTCGTATATTTTATTGACAGATTAAGTCAGATAGATTATATTAGATTTATACTGCATATATACAGAGAAATTTTGCATTTTATTTTGGTTATATTTGCTCCTTTTGTCCTTGAAACAAGTAGGCGAATTAAGATTGGTTGAATTCAAGATTTTTGAACAGAACTTTGAGATGGGACGAAATTATTCATACAAGTGCGAAAGGTCAATAATAATATGGGGTAAAAATACTCAATCTGTATACAGTAAGTTCTGATTGTAAGAAATATTTTTTTTAATGAAAACATGCAGCCACACTCATGAAAGACATTTAAGCATGAAAAATCCAGAAAAACTCAACATTTTATACATTTGTAAGGAATCATTCCACCATCACAAATGCCTTTCCCAATGTTTTTACGAGGAAATAGATAAATAAAAAAATGTTATGCATATCGTAGTAATCCACATTATAAGGCAAAAAAAATTAATTTCTTGGTTCTCAGGCCCTCCCTCATCTCTTCCAAGGGTGCCTCATTGACCCTTTTTATTGCTAAATCAATAAAATATAAACACCAAATCACCTCCCTCATCTTTTTTTGAGGTTTTGTACAATGTAAAAAGCTGCCTCATCATGTTTTGGGGGCAATAAAAAAGAAAAAACATGCCTCCCTCCCTCATCATATTTCTTGAAAAAAGGCCTGAGAACCAAGTAATTAACTTTGCATGGCCTAAGATGAGTATATTTCAGGACTTCACAATCTGCTTGAAATTCTAAATTTTACACATTCTTATGCCGTATTTAATAAAATGTAAGTAACTAAGTACCACTAAATGTATTGTTAAAATTTTAGGACACTACCAGAACCATCATGCAAGTGCATTGTTTTCAATAATGATAAAAGCTATGACCTATGAGAATTACATGAACAAGACTTACTTTTGAAATTATATATATTACCTGAACACATGGAAGCTATAAATGTACTCTGACATGCAGATATAAATGTATATACAGATAGTAACTGGATCGAGACACATTCATTTATACATTTAACATGCATGATTAATTCTTTTATTATTTTTTTTAATTCAAATTTTACTTGTTGAGAGATTTTTTAGAATAGTCTGGTCCGATTTATAGAAAATAATACTTCTAACGGCAAATAATTATTATTTGGTCCAGCATAGTTTTTTAACCTATTTTGAGTATGCTGAATCCGAAAAAGTATGCTGGCCTTCATGAAAATGGCGTTAAGGAGGTCAAAATGGCGATTCAAAATGGCGGACATAAAATTTTTCTAATTTTCTCTTAATATCGTTCAAAAAGGAGAAATAATGTGTGAATATCTCACTGAGTGTAATGCAAGTATAAAAATTATAATAGAATGCTAACATTATTAGTTTAACTCAGAAAATTTAGTCATTCCTACACTTAATTCGAAATTTCTCTGATTTTTTGTCTATTGTTCTATATTCTTCTTTGTTCAAGATTTTACATTAGCAAATATCCATACACTGCAGATTTGTAATTTTTTTCCTCTACATCTCACAATTCTACAACTGAATAATGGTGCAGCTGCAAGTTAAAAGTCAAAATGGCGATTCAAAAGAGCATCTTTTTTTCAAATTATTTCTTAATGTCGTTGACATAGGAGAAAGGATTTGTGAATATTTTACTGAGCGTAGTACAACTATGTAAACTGCCAACAGAACACTAATTTGATCACTTTAAATCAGAAAATTTAGTCGTTTAAATTTAAAATGTGTTAATGTTATTTAGCTCAAAATGGCGATTCAAAATGACGTCTTGTACACTTAAATTTCGTAGAAACTGCTTAATTCTGAGTCGTTTAGCAGAAAATAAAGTACAGTTTGTTTTTAATTTATATAGAATGTATAGTAGATTGATTAGTCCATTAGATATGAACAAACAAAAAATACTTGAAAAGATTAATTTTTCTGGAAATAGTTAAAATAAACTCGACTTAAGAGTTTCCAAATTTCCCCCTTCGTATTTGACCGTGTTCCAAAGCCTTTGAGCCCCCGTCCACCTAAAATCACTCCTGAATCCTGTCATTATATGTATCAACTCGCACTTCTACCTCAACATCCCTCGGCACACCATCAAATATAACTGAAGAAATTTTGGTATTTTCAACACTTAAGTAAAATGGTGCCCCGTGTCAAGGATGACAACCCCCTCGGCACGTAAAAAATCGTTTCTCTGTAGTTCGAAAAAGAGTAAGCTCACTGGGGGCCGCGAGAGAAACCAAAATCCTTCAAAAACCAATTAGTTTAACTGATAGTCCGGCGAAACATGGCTGAAAAATTGCCGACTCGGCGTTAAACAATATACAATCAATCAACCAACACTCAAGGAGCAACACATTTATGTTCAAATGTTTAAAGTCTATTTTGTTTTCCAAAACCTTATGCAAAATGAACTAGAGGCACTGTGAGCAATTAGCTCACTAAATGATACCCCCGTCTCCCATATAAATATAATGAAAGTGTCCATGTTTTGCTATGGGAAACCCTCGGATCAAAAAGTAAAATAGGAGGTCACAATGGCAATATGTAATAAACATTCTGTGAAAGTTTCATCCAATTTCATTCAGTGGTATGAGAGGAGTTGCGATAAGAGATAACAGACGGACGGACAGACATACCGATTACTCTATAACCTCCCGCTTTTCAAGCGGGGTATAAAAAATCTCTGATATTCAAGACATTTAGCTCTTTATTTTGAGACCTCTTTATAGATTTGTTGTCTTTTAGGGTAGAAAGGTCATTCTTTTAGCTAGAAAAATCTCAAACTTTATCATCTGGAATCACATTGTGTGCATATTTTGGTGAGAAAACTTGTAAAATTATGCAATTTAAGAGCGCCTGCAGATTCCTCGTGATTCCTATCACTTACAAGCTTTCGTACCAATAGGCCTAAGCCATTCTTGATTTCGATCTAGTCAACACTTCTCTGGACAACATTTTCTTGAACACTTCAATTAAGAACTTTTCAAGGCAACTTGATCCACACTTCTTTTTTAGGATACTTTAAGGTTGTGTCAAGAATCGAGGGGGATTGAACAAAAACATTTTCTTCTTTCAGATTTTGTAAATTTCAAAACTTTTAAATTTATATATACAGTTCAATACAAAATTATCCGTTCACAGCATGTAATATTTGAGAATGCAGTTGAATTTTTGACTGAGAATAACAAAATGCGAATGTAGGGACACGGAATCAGAGCTGGACAATCAAGAAAATCTATGGTTTACGTATATTATACTGATAATTCTTAATAAATATGTTTTTATTTCGATATTATAATATATTCAGATTTATATGATGTAACAATCACTAGCCCTCTAATTTGTCGTGGTCAATCATTTTAAAAATCAAAAGTTATGTTGCACTAGACCTTCCACATAAACATGCACATTTATTTTTTTTTTAAACTATGGACTAAAAATAGATCAAGAATTTCCAACAACTGATAGTTCACTCGCATTAATGCTCGGGGAATACTGCTCTTGGGGTAGCTTAATTTTCATATTGTCCTCAAAACAGCAATTATTGTATGATATTATTAACTTTTTATATGAAGAAGCATGGTGAGACAGGTAATAGGTAAAATGTCTTCGGAATTGTCGTCAAGAATTTATCTAAACAATAGAAGTAACTGAACAAAAATCCGTGTTATAAAAATCCTAAGTCATTAACAAAAATATCATCCAACTTTCATTGCATATTTGAACATAATTCATAACTAAAAAAAAACAAACTGTAATTTATTTTCTGCAAAACGAACCAGAATTAGGCAGTTTGGGTATTTCACGAAATTCGAGTGTATAAGATGGCATTTGAATTGCCATTTTGAGCTAATTAACAAATTTTTTTAAACGACTAAATTTTCCGATTTAAAGTGATCAAATTAGTGTTCTATTTTCATTTTACATAGCTGTACTATGCGCAGTAAGATATTCACAAATCCTTTCTTCTTTGTCAACGACATTAAGAATTAAATAATTTGAAGAAAAAGATGAATATCCGCCATTTTGAATCGCCATTTTGACTTTTACAGCTGCACCATCATTCAATTGTAGAATAGTGAGATGTAGAAAGAAAAATACAAATCTGCAGTGTATGAATACTTGCAAATGTAAGGTCCTGAACAAAGAAGAATATAGAAACAATAGACAAAAAAATCTGAGAAAATTCAAATTAAGTGTAGAAACGACCAAATTTTCTGAGTTAGACTAAAAATGTTAGCATTCTATTATATTTTTTATAGTTTTATTACACTCAGTTAGATATTCACTCATTACTTCTCCATTTTGAACGACATTAAGAGAAAATTGGAAAAATTCGATGTCCGCCATTTTGAATCGCCATTTTGACCTCCTTAACGCCATTTTCATGAAGGCCAGCATATTTTTTCGGATTCAGCATACTCGAAATAGGTTAAAAAACTATGCTGGACCAAATAATAATTGTTTGCCGTTAGAAGTTATTTCTAGCCTTCTTTTTAAAAATCAGGACCAGACTAGAAGCATATCTTTGGATATTAAAAATTATACAGTTGGTAAATTTACTGAATGGTTAACCTAGCTAAAAGTGCAACTTAAAGAAATAATTGCTTTAAATTTGATATTGTATATATGATTTTTTTATGCACATCATGATATATATAAATATATGTCATGTAATTCTAAATAATATTATTCATTAAAAAAAAATAAAACGCTTTCTTTGGTTGTTAGTACTGGAATTAATGTCGCAGCTGTTGCAGATTAACAATACATAAGCCGGGTTATGTATTTTTTTCCTGCAATAGCTGCGACATTAATTACCATGCTAACAAACAAAGAAATACATTTCAAACTGTTTATATTTACATTCGTATGAAAAAACATTCAAAGTAAAATGAAATTTATTGATGAATATGTCATCAAATGCATAATTGATGGAACAGTGCTGTTTATTTCAAAAACAATTTATTAATATCATAATTGATTTATTATATTTTATATGCTTTTTAAATTAATTAAATAACATGGTTAATTGTGTGCACATTTACATGTATATACAAATGTGTTTATTAATTAGACATACTCCTAGAATGTAACACTAGCATGTTTTTCATTGAAGGTATAATTGCACATTTCCATTTTATGATTATCATTTTTTTTAATTTTCTCCCATTTCCTTGCTATTTGTACATTTTTAAACCAGTTAAGTCACAATTTATTAGTTGTTTATTGTCTAACTTTTTGTGACATTAACTTGATTTTTAATGAAGTATCTGCAATAACAATTTGGTTAATTAAAATGAAGCCAAAGTCTTTAAGACATCTACAGGTGTTAAGGTAATTTGAAGAGGAAATAATTTTTTTTTATAAATATCAATGCTAGTATTTGATGGATTTGTTGATTTTGATCCTTTGAACCAACCCCCCCTCTAATATTCATCCTGTTCATATAAGGTAGTTTTTAAACACTATAACAGTAATTTAAATATACATATATCATATGTTGTCATATTGTACAGAGGTACATGTAGAATAAAAACTTCTCATATGCAAGTTTAAATTTCAGATGTAATTAGCATTAAAGTAGATGTTTGATTAACTTGTAATCATACACAACTGCAAATGTTAGAAAAGTTTGTAACTTTTTCTTTTTGAATCAAAGTGTGACTAAATTAATTTTAAGGATTTGTAATTTGCTTCAAAACTTCATGTTTAGAACATAACCAGGTTACAAGTAAACTAAATTTGCCATCCTTTAAGATGTTCTCTGAAAATTTCTTTAAATATTACAAATAGCAGTCCTACAATGGGAACGGGGTCTCTCCCCCAATCCTCAGGTACTGTATGGTTTGTTTGTTATCATTGCTTTATGTACCTATATACTCCGGATACTTGACACAAAAGTGTCAGCAGTATCTACTGTTTGAACAGACAGGTATGTAGCCTTAAAGCTCTCTTTCCTCATTTACCTGAGAACAGAGCAAAAAGCATGAGCCTTCTAAACCTCAAATTGTTTATTTGCTAATGCTGCAGATCACTTTGAAGATTGGATTTAGTTGTAATTTACCTGTAAACATTATTCATCTTTTGAAGCCTTTTGTATGGATGAAGTTTTTCTTTGTCAGTAAGGAAATGCAAAACACGATGACTGTTGTTGTGCAAATATGATTCAAAACTCCTTTTCAAATTTATATTTTAAATTTTGCTTTAATTTCCTTTTTGGAACATTGTGCTAAGTTATTCAGAAAAAAAAAAAAAACTGTAAGAGAATATCTTAGTAGTTATTTTCTAACCAAAAAGATGTTTTGTTGCAGGAAAAAGTCCAAGATGGCCAAGGATGAAAATAAGGAAAAAGATCCAAGGATTGAAATTGAATTCACTCCAAAATATGATACATCCAGAGGTACAGATCAGCCCCCCAGGAAAGGTCCCCATGAAGAGGAGTTTGTCCCCCCTGATGGGGGCTGGGGGTGGGTCGTGTGTTTCACGTCGCTCCTGACTAACGGAACAGCTTTCAGCATCCTCAACACTTTTGGCATAATATATGTTTATTTGGTCAAGGAGTATGCGAAAGGAGATCATGCAATTGCCTTCAAAACATGTAAGTATTAATGGTTTTTATGCAAAGAATTTTTTTTTCTGGATTTTGCGTATTGGTTAACAAATATTGAATTCAAGGTGAAATGGTTTTAAGTTTGCTGAAAATGCATTTATTTATATAATTATATAGGAGTTAAAAAAACTTTTTAAATTTGATTTTGAAATACTGTTTTATTTATTTCAAATGAAGGTAAGATAGTGAAATCATATATATTTGTTTTTTATGTACTCGACTATTGATTCATGTAGTTTTTGTGAAAATTTCTTTAAACTAATCTTGCAAGGTATTGAGCTATTTAATTCTATCTACAAAGGAGTGCAGAAGTTTGATACGTGAATGCATTTAAAGAAGCCAAATGTGTAAATCCCTTTCCTAGTAAATTAATTGTGGAGGATTGGTTTACATTATATGTATGCATTGATTGATGCTTCAGTGCAGCATTTATGATAAACAACTTCATTGAAATTCATATATATAACACTTGATGAGTCATAAACTTCAAAACAAAACTTTATTAAATTAAAGAAGACTCTCTATAAATATCATATTCAAAACTTCTTAAAGTAATCACATGCACAAAGATTGCCTATATTGTGGCTAACAAGTGTTTTTTCATTTCCAAATTTTTATTGAATTTAAGTTGTATTTTGAGTAAGGGCACATGTACACTAACGGCTGTTTTATTTGAATGTTAAAAATTTGGAATCCTTTTGTGTTTCCACTCAACAAGTAACCAAAATTGCATAAACAGATCATAAAGAATGAGTACATTTTTGTAAGAATTTTTTATTCAACACATATTTCTGTCACCTGTGTGGATGTGTTGTGTGCCCTAACTAATAATACTTTTATTTCATATTGGAATCATTTTAAAGTTCTTAATAGTAAATTACTGAAATTTCAGCTTATTTTAATATCAAATCTGTCAAAATTTTCATTGGAAAGAGTCAGCCATACAAACGATCTTAAATAGTTATCCAATGAATACTGGAATATACCTTAGATCTCAAGTGTATTCAGTTGAATAATCTTCAAATAGTTCCCAAGATATAAATCAGTTTTATAAATTAGACCAATGCATATATTTTACATAAAAGTTCAGAAAGAAAGGCATTATGCAAATCACAAAGGTCACTGATCTAAAAGACTTAACCATTTCCAAATTGATATTGTTCTATCAATATTTGTGTAAGGTTGGTTTATATACCTCTGTTTTTCAAGACATTAAATAATTGTTAATATGGCTCTTGGTATTAATGACAAGAAGAGATATGATGCCATTTTACATTTTAATGTGAACATTCGTTTGATTGAAAATTTATGTCAGATGTTTTTTTACATAATAAAAAGATGAATAATGAGGGATCATGGATATGAACCCCATTTAGAGTTGGATGGAGAAAATCAACTTAAAACTTCTACTAATATGACCATGAAATATAATCTGTACGGTTAAAATTACACATTAAACTGACATGTGCTTAATGTTCTGCTCAAGACACAAGGTTTTGAACATACCACACGAGGTGAAAATTTAAATACAACTAAACATTCTTGCTATGCTACAACTTTGTTAAAAATTTCTGCTCAATCAGCATCTGTGACCATAGTACTACATTTAGTCAGATTAGTAACAATATCTAATATGGGGTACTTACTCCCTTATGACACCTGATCCATGATCCTTTTTCAGAGGTCCTTGTTGACTCGACTCTATTTATGTAGATAAAGAGTAAAGAAGAGTTAAAACACAAAAAAAATCAAATTCTAAATAGTCTCTCAGAGAATATTTCAGTGATTTGATAGAATCAAGGTCTTAGTAAGTGAATTAAATGCTCATGTTTTTCTTTAATTTAAACAAAAAAATAACAACAAAAAAATGAATTTTCAATAAAGAAATATGCATACTGAATTAAAAAAAATCTTCAAGGACTTTCGTTATGATATTCAGCTGATTTACGCAGTTTACTGTTGAAACACTTGCATCTATTGAATTATACCAATGCTTTGAGTGATATATGAATTAGTCATTTGAATGTTAGTAGGCTGACAAATATATAAAACTGACACATGACAGTAGACAACCCCGTTTGATACGATATCCTCAGCAAATTTATGATACCGACCCTTTATATGATATGTGAAATTGACATTTGTTCGCAACCGTGAGAAATGTTTTCTGTGTCTTCTGGGTATTCTGCGTCTTTTCCTTCTCTTAAAGTGGATTTATTTTAGTAAATAATAACTGTTTAGATGGTTTTAGTGCAAAGAGGTCATATTAAGTTAAAAATATACAGCAGTATATAGGTTAATAGAGGCACATGCGAAGTGTACTTTGTATTTCATGATTTATATAATATATTACAAACTAAAATACTTCACCTGATTAAATTATTTTTATACACATTTAGGATGTTCCCCCTTTTAGTGCACAAAAGTTACATGTATATTTGATTTAAAATATACCTTTAATTGTTGTTATAATGGAGATAAATTCTATTTGAGTATGTATTGTACATGTATCTTAATGATCAACAATCGAGTTTCCTTTTAGACTTTAATTAATATATTCAGCATGTTTACAATTAAACATGCATTATTTGCATTATTTGTTGAGATTTTGTTATATATATTTCTTCCTTTTTTATGACAAATTTTTATTATAGCTAAGTGTTTTAAATAAACAGATACATAATATACATATAAATGTTTACCGGGTCACTGTTTTAACCACAAAAAAGTTAATAATTTTATTGGATTTCTTGTCTGCTGTGAATACTTTTAATTTCATCCATCAGATTTATTTGCTTCTTCAATAAAGTTAATTTGAGAAAAAAAAGTACCTGCTTTTTATTTAAATTTGTTCCATTTTCGTTATTCACTTTTATCAGTTAGTTGGGGAATTTTTATTGATTAAAGCAATCTATAAAAGAGAAAATATAGTTTTTATACATTATAAAATATTCGAGAATTGGTATGGAACTTTCAGATTTTCAGGAAATGAACTACGGAAACAAGTCAATCGTATTGCACAGTAATATAGCATGCTGAAATCCATAACACGTCAATATGTCCCAAAAATTGTTTGCCAAACTGGTCACCCACATTCAGTGCATGTTGATTATCTTGCAAGGAAAAAAACGTTACCTGCATTCTTCAAGGAACTATAGTTTATTCAAATACTCAAAATTTTTATTTCACACTGTAAATCATCTGCAATCTTACAAAAATGTTGAAAATTATTGGATCAGTAAATGATCAGAAAGAATACATCAGAAATCTAAACATTTGTCTAAGGTCAATTGTTCCGCTGACACTAATCTCACCTGTTAACTGGAGAACAGTTTATACCACTTGGAAGAATCGGAAGCGTCGGTGTCAGAGTTATGTCAACATACTGGAGTGGGTCGTTTGGTCGAATTACTCAGTCCAATACACTAAAAATATCTGAGGGAGGTAGTAAAGTACACCTTTAATCCATGTGCAAAGCATTTGGGTTAATCCAATTAGAGCATATTCTTCTTGTGGAATTTGTTACAGAAAATGATAAAAACAGCCTCTGGCTTGATATTTGCTGATGTCTATCTTGAAAGTTCCAAAGTTAATGTCGCTCTAACTACTCTCATCTTGCAAAACTGAATCTAAAACAATAAAAGAATGGCATTGAACAGAACTATTTTGTATAGAATATTTACAATATTGTAAGTTGATGAATACACAATGTTTTTTCATACAATATTTGGAATTGGATAAAAATACATTTATATTTATTGAAAAAAAATATTTTTTCCACCCATTTAAAGTATGGGTGTACATGGGTCGGTAAACATTCACGAATTAGCAAAAAATGGCTTAGACAAAATATTAATGGGAAAAAAAAATCCTTTTTAACATTTCTTTTCATTGTCTCAAATTTGTTTCATGTTCAGTTACGTATTATATTTCTTTTATTTTTTCAGCATGGGTTGGATCTGTTTGTACAGGAATTACTTTTCTGATGTGCATTTTTGCCAGCATTTGTAGTGACAGAATTGGTATCAGACCAACTGCATTTTTCGGCGCGGCTTTGGGCGTGATCGGACTTTTCTCCAGTGCTTTTATTACGCAACTGGAACTTCTGTATTTAACTTATGGCCTGTTTCTTGGAATCGGTGGAGGATTCGTCTACTCCCCCTCTTTAGTCATTATTGGTCACTATTTCAAAAAGCACATGGGCATTGTGAATGGAATTGTAGCTTTTGGAAGTTCAATCTACACAATCATCCTGTCCATTGTTTTACCGATTGTCCTGGAATCGCTGGGTATCAAGTACACTTTTATGATTCTGGGAGGACTATATTGCATGCTTCTGTTATGTACTTTAACATGGAAGCCGCTTTTTCACAGAGAAACCAACCTGCCAGAATTGGCACTGTCAACAGAGAGCATTGTACAACATGCTAGTGACTGTTGCTCATGGACTAGAAAGTACCTTAACTTGAAGATATTCAAAAATCGAGCATATCTCATTTGGTTTTTGGGACTTGCTGTAGCGCTTTTCGGGTACTTCGTGCCATTTGTGCATTTAGTAAGTATAAAATCATCAACGTTATATTTTCCTGTAGAATCAGTTTGATTCGGGAGGGCCAATGTTCGTGGGCAAGCAAAATTTTTCTTGTTCATGGGGACGTGTAGTTGCGTTGGTAATTCGTGTATACGGTAAATTCAATGAATGAATAATGTTTTTAAACATTCAAGGATATGTACATTTGTGGGTAAGGATGACCTATGAAATGGAAAATTGTTCCCACACGAACACGGGTGATTTCACAGTAGTTTTAGTAATTAAAACACCTGTCATCGGCTGTCCACGGGATTAGCTATCTGCTTGAAACAAACACGAGGTTAACTTAAAATGACTAGAAAGAAAAACAGGTTTGACCCCCTTCTCTATAAGATAACTAAGTTATGCTAATGTGACTCAACTCACGAGATTTAGTCAAGTGATCAAATTGGAGATATAATTGAGATGTGTGTCATTTGCAACATGTTTCAATCATATCAACACCGCCTTTTTTTCTCAAATGTTTTGATGAGTAAGGTATTTATTGGGATCTGTTACCAAAATTATAAGGAGCATCACATTCTATTATTATTTATACCATCAGAATGTTGCCTTATCTATGAATATACGTTTTTCGTCAAACTTCTTTTCTGAACTATACCTTAGGAATTTTTTTTTTTAAAAAGACCATACATAAAGCAGAAGTATTGAGTGTAGCGTTTATACAATTTAAAAGAAATAATGGTTTGAATGCATATGAACAGCATCGGCCTCCAATAGAAACAATTTTGTAATGAAAATTGACAGAAGAAAAACGCATGTCAATTGTCAGACACGTAGTATCTTGTTCAATAGTGACGATGGTGGTGGTTAAACAGGATGCTTGAGAAAATTCTATTACGAGGTGAATGCATATATAAATACTTCGTGTCGTTAGTGTACACTGAGATAGGGCTTATCATAATGAAGTTATAATCGACAGATAGTGAATCAGTACATGTCTAGCAAAGTCAGGATAATCAGCCATCCTAAAGTGATATCATCATTTATTATGATAACGGTCAATTTTTGTCAATGACATTTAGATACAACTTCAAACTATGTTACACTGCATTAATGCGGTGAACGTCTTTATACTCCTGATTTGTAGTGATTGAATGGACCTTTGAGCTTAAATACTCTTTGTTATCTCCATATATACATGTATTTCATATTTATTTATTAAGGTATAATATCCCTTTTATAAGAGAGATAACTTTCCAAGGAAACTATTCCAAGCAATTCGTTAAATTGCCTTGCCAGAATTTAAAAAAATAGGACCATTTTATAGTCAACTCATTCGAATTTGATTTAACGTACAAATATTGGTTTCTATTATTTATTGCCAATATTTATTTTATTAATTACTTATAACATTTATACTCAGTTCCTTTAAACTGTGAAATTTCAATTTATTGATTTATTTTCTTTAAATTAATTTTACTGAGTGAAAGGCTATCTTTGTAAATATATAGTGTTTCGATTTTTTAATGAAAAACATTCGTATATTAAATATACAAGGGCTTAGCTGAAAGAAAATTCACTATTACGTATTTGATTTGTTTTAGACGTAACACTTATATTCAAGATAACATTATTGAACCAATTGAAGTGCATTTACCCGAATTTTTAACTGATGTAACTTTATAAACAACAAAAAGATTATTTGAAAATTCCTGTAATTACTTTTATGTTGTAAAAGGAGGTTATCAAATTTATCTGTTTAAAAAATAGGTGTTGAGCTCTAGATGTTACGAAATGCTTTGTAAGAGGAATGTGAGTTTTATCTGGGTCAGGGCCACTGACCTGATTACATTTGTTTATGTAGCCTTGTCAAACCTACTATAAATTATGAAGTATCCTAATACTCCGTATTTTTTTTAATACTGTTATTTTTTTTATATATGTAAATCTAGATAGTACATTTGGATATTAAAGTGATTCTAATTCAAAGTTAGAAACAATTTCAGGATGCAAGATTTTTGTTCAACGATAATTTCTTCTCATTTTATGAATGTTTTCAATATATTGAACAGTATACAATCAATATGTTAAATATAAGAGATTTATTGAATTTGTGCAGCTCGAAGAGCACATTCAGTCCATCTTGTATATAATTATAAACTAATAAAACATTGAACAAAATATAAGTAAATATTTTTTACATCAATACTTGCTTTTAGACCTTAGGAGATTTATTTTATTTTTTTTTCGAAAATGAAATATGCAGATATCGAACAGTAAGCAAATTTAAACATCAGTTGAAACAAAACATATCGGAGCGAAGCAAACACGGATCTCTAAAATGTTACACCAGAGGTTGATCTGGTGCCATGGGGGAGTATGCATCACTTGTTGACCGGTCACACCCGCCTTGTACTACTTTTTATTATCGAACAAACGAAAAAAGTATCTAGAGAATTAATGTTTAAGTAATGGCTTCAAATTAGTACGGAAAACGGCAGTCAACATATAAAAAAAATGATGCTGGCAATGTCATTTTTAAAAAGATTTATTAGCGGAAGCACCAAACTTCGATGAACATTTGATTTCGTTGATTGCCTCAACAACAAAATCCACGAAAATTGTTGGAACCACAGTATCTATGTTAAAACTTTCTAGCTTAGAAAGGTTTTTATTTATAATTGTAATCAGAATTAGCCGGTTAAAAAAAAATTGACAGGTGAAATTTTGGAATGCAACATCAAATTGCGTATCAAAAGTATGTTATGTACATGAATTTACTGTTTAAAATTCAAAATACTTAAATGCAGCCAAACAAATTATGTAGCAGAGGCACTAAGATTGTTTTTTTTTTAACTTTCTCCATTGTAGGTCAAACATACTCAGGACAACTTTCCCGGTTCAAATGCTTTTATTTTGATCACTTGCATGCAAGTGACTTCTGGAGTAGGACGAATCGTCTTTGGAAAGGTAGCGGATCTGGCATTCGTGAACAGAATCTACATGCAGCAATGTGCATTCGTTGTAATGGGCATAGTAACAGCTTGTATTCCTTTCTCTGCCAGCTTTGAAGGTCTTATAGCTATCTGTCTCATTCTCGGAATCTGTGATGGTATCTTCGTATGTTTATTGGGTCCCATTGCGTTTGACATAGTTGGTCCCCTGGAAGCCTCACAAGCCATTGGTTTCATGCTTGGAGGATTTTCTATTCCATTTACTGTTGGTCCACCTATTGCAGGTACTTTTATATAACCTTTATAAATAAAAAAATATGATATGAGAGAAAATGATTTTATGTCATATATTTATCCACTATGCAATGTAAGACATAAAAGCTATAGATTGAATGAGCTTATGTGTCAGTAACTTGTCTTTCGTCTGTATCTCTAGATGTTTGTTTGTCTGATGTTTTTATTATAAACTATAATATTCTTCTTACAGTACACAATTTTGTATGTCGTGTATGAATTTTATAAAGTACGATGGTCCCTCAAAATTTAAAATATTTGTGAGAATTCATTCTATTTTCTTGAAGTTTAATCTCAATTCATAGAAATTGATTCACAAGTTTAGACATACAATTTTTATGTTTGTTCAATAAATATATATATTATCTGTTTTTCTAATTTGTATGCCTCCACAATCGAAGATTTAGAGGCACATATAGTTTTTGTCCTGTCCGCCCATTTGTCTGTTTATCTGTTTGGTTGTCCGCAAAAATGAAACCTTGCCTGTAACTTTTGAGTGGGTGGGGCTATGACTTTCATATCTAACAGGTATATCCCTTGTGTCAAAACCTTTCTTTGGGTATCACCAAATTTGGCCTCTTAACCTCAAAGTTTGGTGCATTTTTTTCCAACCCCCCCCCCCTCACACACACACACACACTCTTTAACCTTCGCCATAGCAATTGATAACTCCTGAACAGTTGGTTCAAGGACTTTCATACTTCATCCATTTTCATACTTGACCTAGGAAATTGATTGCTTTTTTTTAAATTTAACTGTGCCCATAACATGAACACTATAGTTTTCATATTTCACATGTGTAATGTATCTAATAAGACCTTCTTTTAGATACCAACTATTTTGACATTTTGACCTTGGCCTTTGGAGTGTGACTTGCATGTGAGAAAACCTGACCATCAGCTGCGATACGGGGGCATCAGTGTTTCACAAACACATAAGCACGTGTCTTCAGACAGAGAAGAAACTATTTTTGCCTACTGCTATGATGCGATTTGAATAAATTAGTCATCTCTTTATAAACTGGTCGGTTTTTTTAATATCATTGCAGGGTTTCTTTACGATCATCTACACTCATATGAAATAGCGTTTGTAGCTGCTGGTGTCCCACCAATCGTGGGGGCGATCATGATGTGTTTAATTCCTAGAGTCCAGCAGGTAGGACATTTTAAAACAACACTGTAAATATTACGTTGTTTTCATTTAGAGAGCTCAGCCATGTACCTTTCAAAACTATTTTAAGGAGGAAAATTGCTACTCTTCATTTCTGAATCGTCGGAAGTTAAAATACCGGTATTATGAAAAAAAAGATTTAAATTCTATTGGCAATCTTTTAAGAATTTAAAAGGAGTTGAGGTACTGGTTCGTTAATGAAACTCCTTTACAAATTTTTACATTTCGTAGATGAGGTAACTGCAAAATTTACATGCTATCTAGTCCCCCCTACCAAATAAATGCGAAACGTGCAATAAGATTGATAATATGATGATACTATTGTTGTACATATAACTGTACATGGAAATATATCTATTTCAGAGTTACCCTGCTGCAACAGAAACCCACACATTTGCTTCGATCTCCATGTTAGATGTTTACCATGCTAGTACAAGTAGATCAGGTATGATATATTATAAAAGTCCTGTATCAAGCACTAGGTATCCTATTATCACATATATTTCTTTCTGTCATTTAATTACTTTTGAATTTTTTATTAACTTTCAACCAAAATGATATGACTGTTTATTTTTTAGGTGGACAATTTCAGTCGACAGATTTTTCAGTCTGTTATCAAAATTTGTTTTGTGTTGTCAGACTTAGTTGAAATTCGAGGGGGGGGGGGGTTCTCAGAAATTTGGCATTAATGTATGAATATTAGAAGAATATTTTGTTTTGTTTTAGGTCAGTTGAATCAATTAAATCAAGTAAACGGTGTCAGAGGTCATTCAGGAACTACTTCCGAGCTAGAAGTAGTGCGCATTGTAGAACTTCCAGATCCTGCTGATGTAGGACAAAAACTTTTAGATTCGCAAAACAACGATATCAAATTCAGGAGCAACGGTTCTAAAAGGTCTAACGACAGTGAAGGTGACACATCAGAACAAGATTGTGAATCACTATTAGAGAAGGAATCAAACAGCTGATTAGCGATGTTTGTTGTTTTTGTTAAAGTGCTAGTGGTCCTAGTACATGGATGTTCAAGTGCTATAGAATTGTTAATATGAGAGGCTTAACTGAGTAGATTGGCCAAAAAATAAATGTATACATAATTATGTATACGTAAGTCATGCAAGACGCCAAAGAAAAAGCTTTACATACTTTTTGTTTGACCAAAAAGATAACTGCTATTTTACACATGAAACAGTCCAAGTTTGAAAAAAATTAAGTTTCCAGTATTCAGTCAAAATGGATTTTAGTTGCTAGTATATTGTTTGAAAAAAAAAACAACAAAGAAGTAATGTTAGATTATACAATGTAAGTCTAAATTCAGTTTAGAATTTTAGTTGTTTTAAGAAAAAAATTATTTTAAAGCAATTTTAGATTTATTTATCTAAATTCAGTGATTTTAAAACATATGGTGTGAGTTGTGTATTTCCTCTTTCAGCAGGTCTGATAAATCGTTGTTACTTGTGAAATTGTGTTAACGTTGTCATTTATGACACACAAATGAGTTATAACATTTGAAAATTTTAGAGTTGTTGAATGTTTATAAAGAACATAAATGCACAGACAAGTGTATTGCACATTTATTAAATAGATGACAAAAACTATTTGTGTCTATTATTTAAATCTATATCTTAAGGTTGCTTACATGCATTGAGAGTTAGGAATAGGTTTTATAAAATGTCATTCCTTATTGTAGGATTCTTCTCTGTTTTATGACTAGATGAAAAATTCAATGTGCATTTGCTTATATCTATTATATATTAAGATGTAAGAGATCTAAAAAATAATAGTTTTCTTTTCTCATCACAATTGTACAACTTTGAATAGATATGGTTAACTGAGTTTGAAATCCAGTAGGGAATATATATTTGGCGAAATGCGGGCGTATAAAAAAATCTTCTTTTCTGATTCTCAAAATTATTATAGAACAATGAATTTGATTATAATTTTTACATAATCAGACTTGAAGAATTTTTCATATGTAAGTTAAGGATTTAAGTTCTAAAATATATCTAATGTGATTTTCCAAACAGTCTGCAATTATATTAGCTTTTAAAGGCTTCCAATCTAAATGCAGAAAATCCATAGAGTTTATTTCTGTTATTGTATCAATTTGTATCTGAATATGACTTCTTAACCATATGTAAGAATAAGAAAAATTTAAATGTAAGGTGCTTAAAAATAACTAATATATATGCAGATAAACAGATAAACATTTAATCTTTTGTAATTAGTATCACATGATTGGACGCAGTAATGTTTCATTCTTAGTGTCCAGGGAAAAGTTAATGACCTTGATATGACCTTTCCTCTAATATAAAACGGTCAAAAACAATCCAAATGATACCATCACGTAGTAATATTGTCTTGGTTCTGTGAAAATTTCATTTATTTTTAAATACAAATGTACAAGAAATACATTTTTATGAGAAGAATCCTACACAGTAGAACACATTGTTTTTTTTTATCTTGTTCGAATTGTATATGCTAGATCAAATATAAGCTTTTTGGGAAATTCAAATTCAAATTCATTGACCAAGGGAGAGAATTAGTATTATATTTATTAAAATTATGAATTTTAAGAACAGTAATGAAAATATGTGAAGTGGACAGAAAATTATATATTATAAAGATGTAAATACTGAGACTATAATTTTCAAGATACGGAATCTGCCATTTACCCCAAGAGAATAAATTGAAAGACAATATAAAATGATAAATACGAATCGCTGTAGCTTATTAAAATTGGAAAAAAAAACATGCAATTGAATGAATGTACGATTATCCTTGCGCAATGAAATGTTATAATTCTTTGAACTGATTACGTATATGATAATGTGCTGTAGATTAAAGTTTATTAAATTTAAAATTGAAAGACACATTACTTTTAACTCCAAAAAAGTATACCATAATAAGCAAAACCTTTAAGAGTGCAGTGTTTGATAGTTGTTAAGACGAAATACTAGTAATCAAATTTGAAAAAAGAATAGAACAAGGTATGACTGAATACTTTGTAATTTGCATGCATATAAAAATTGCTGATTTGCTGAACGCAATTCATATACATGGACTGTTAACCCCATGATATGGAATTGGAATCCGTTTAAGATCGGCAATTCAGGTTAAATGCATGAACACGAATAGATTGACGCATTAGAAACAAGTTAATTTGTTTAAAACATCAAAGCCCAGCGTAGATTTTCGAGCACAACCTATGTTAAACCAAACAAAAGGTTCGTGAACGAAGTCCCCCCCCCCCCCTACACCATGCCACTTATACAAACGGTAATTGACTTATGTATTTAAAATTTAAAACCAAATTTCTTCAATTGTCCAATTGATTGGAATACGTTTTTGTAATTTTTTTCATAAACCGTAATTTTCCCCAAGATTCTCGAGTATTTTTTTTTCTTAATCTATGAATGAATTAGTCAGTTTATGCACATGCAGTTGAAAGGATCAGAGTACTAAACCGGTCTTTTCTGGAAACATGTCCAGGTACTAGTATCTCTGTTCTGATTTTTTTCTTTGTCGGTTATTATTTGCAGATTAAATAATGTAAGTTTATTGATTTATGATATCTTATGTCAGAGGCACATCCCCTGTCAATATAAATATTAAAACAGAAGTATGTCCAATTTCTGAACTGTCTGAAAACTCAGGAAAGGGTTAGCACTTTCAACTCATAGTCATCATTTTCGTATGTGAATGTTTTACTACACACTGAATTGTCAACGGATTTTCCATTATTTCTTGATCAAGACATGGAGCACACGGCAGGGGATGCTTACTACTCTTTGGTACCTAATCCTACCTACGATGTTTTAGAGGTCCGTGTGCGTTCTGCTCCTATTTTTTATTGTTTAATGGACTTTTGAGCTTGAATTCTTTAATTCGTTATCTCCATATGTGTCATTCTATTTATTTGACCATCGAATAGGGGTTTATTTTACATCGTTTCATTTACAGGCATATAAATATTTCGTTTTTATTTTGTAAATTCATTTTCTAAATTTTATATAAATTTCTTGCGTTTATTTTACATGAACATTGATCAGTTTGAAAAGAAAAAGTTACAGATGTTAACAGTAATTTAACGTCCTCTAGAGAACTTTTCACTCATATGGAGACGCCATCATCATTTGCCGATGGAGAGCTCCAAATTTTGTTCCATACTCGGCGCTTACGGTCATTGAGCAGTGGGGGATCTTTTTCGTTCTAACATCGATCTACTGTGGCATGGAACTTCGAATTAGGTTTATACAGTCTCATTCGAAGTACCGGTGTCCACGTCCCATATATATAGTGGGATTCCAACCTGTCACATGGAGGATCAACTCCTTAATTCGCCACTCCAGAGCAAATGCTCTAACCACTGCGCTTGTCTTATATTTTTGGAGTTTTTTAAGTGAAAGGAAACATGCCAGTAGCACGTTCAGTTTACAGGTTTTTTTTTTTTTTTTTTTTTTTTTAATAAGCTATTCTTGTAAGATATGCTATTGCAATATTGAGAAATGTCGTCAATCATATCACTGAAGTATAGATACTTAGATCACGTGTAATTTTACCACATCTTGTGATTTAGGTTGATCTAACGCCAAGTTTCCATTCAGATGCTGTTTCAATAAATATCGGGATTAAATTTTCATAAGATATACCTTAACTTTATTGTGAATTAGGTTTTTTTTTCTATTTATGTACATGTTGTTACGGATGCTTTAGGAAAAACAACACGCAACTTTCTGTTTTTCTGATTGGATCTACAGTTTAGTTACCCGAGGATTTTCCTAATTCTAAGGTATAAGCTATGTACTTCTTTAAAAACTGTATTAAGGAATAACTGTCTTATTATTCGATTTCATGATGTGATCAATCGATGGGCTTGCATGATAATTTGCATAAACGCCGAAGGCGAACGCAAGCCAATCGATTGATTATCGTCAAGAAATTGAAAAATCTGACAGTTATTCCTTATATTTACATGCTTTTGATTCCGCGAATCCACGTGCTGCAAGCCCTGCTTCTGTCTAGCTATTTGTCCCGCCCTCCACGTGATTCTTTTTTTAATCGCGCCTATTGATGAACTAAAACATTGATGGGGAAATAAAGTACATTTACAATTTGTAATTTTATCGTGAACAAAGACATTTGAAATGTTAATATTAATTGTTATTTATACTTTCCTACGTACGTTTTAAAATATTTTAAATAGTTACTGGAGTGAAATATTGCATTGCTAGCAATTTTGATACATGAATAACAGTTTTTTCTTTAGTTATGAAAATTGTTTAAAATTGACACGCAATTAAATTTTTTTGAGATAATTTTTATAGAGGCATATTCTGAATGCAGGTTACATAATAATTATTAAATCCGACCCAGTGATGTCTAACTCATATCTTATCTACCTTAGTGTATAATAAAAACAAGGTTACGTAATTCTATTTCGCTGAATTTTGTCTTTTAATTCATGCAAATACAACATTTTTTTGGCAAAAACAGGTTTACGTAATGAAAATGTTGTACATTTGAAGCAACTCAAATAACTTTGTTTTTTTTTTTTTTTTTAAATTTCGTTTTTAGTTATAGAAATGCACATGTACATGTAGTATTAACGGAAAAGTTAAAGGTCATGGAATTAAATTAAATATAATACTTTTCTTAATCTTCCATCGCAATATTGAAGTAAAATCTTTCTACTTCGATACCTTATGTGATGGTACAGAATTTCATTTGAAATTTTTTATTTTTAAACAGGAAAATAATGAAAAAGTGGAAAAAAAGATCTACATTTGACAAGTTAAAGTATAAATTGATAAATATGAATCATAAAAACTCAATTAGTTGTCCTAATCGTTGGTTACCAATAAAATTTTAAATACTGCAGTGTAGACGCTTGCACCTAGAAATAAAATTGTTTAATTTATTCAGGACATTTAAACTAACAATAGACGTAAGAATATGTGTTCCGTGGTGTTCTTGAGTGTAGATGTGTTGGTGTGTGTAATAGTGCATGTTACTCGATCCGGTCTTATAACAATGCTTTGTAGTATTTAAAGGATTTTGAATACGAAATACAAGGTGAATGTACCGAGATTTTAAGGATAAATCATTGAAATGCACATCTTGGGGTTGGAAGTGGAGAGTTCAGTGAAATGGGTTTGAATTTTGTATGAATATGTATATTATGTATATGTTTCATAATGGTTATAAAATATGTGTATTATCAAGGGCAGTTAGATAATAATTATATGCAAATTAAGTAATTTGAATTGTTTACAAGTCTGTTTTACAATGATTGTACACGTGGGGATACCACACTGAAAGATTGAAGACCGTTTGGTGAGTTGCTTAGTCATTAATATTCAACAACTGCATATGTAAAATTGCGCTTAAGACTTAAAATACTATAGGTTATAAAATTTGTACTAATCCATTTTTAGTCTATGAAGGTTAAAATTTAATTCATGTAATTTTGCTTTTCCTCAATAAGGAATATTTATTTGTACACAATTTTATTCTTTGCAAGGGTAAAGGAAGCCATATTTTCTTTTCATAGAGAAGATTTGTTGTAAGACAGACGCATAATTAAAAGAGCAGTAACTCTTTAAGTAGATTGTATAACAATTTTATTACTCTTTTTTCAGATATATGAATATTTTAGGAATGACTCTAATTCTTGGCTAAATTATTCGATTGTAACCTGGTTTTGATCTGTTTACGCTTTACAATCCGCAAAAGATTAGATGAAAAGAAATTAGATTGAAAGTTCTTTTTTCTATTAAATTATATTTGCAACGATTAATATAACATATGTATTCATAGCAGAAGATAGTTCAGCATGTCCAGTAGTGAAGAGAAAAAGGCACCTCCAGAAAATGAACCAGTATCTACACCACAGTTGAATAGCGAGATTAATGAAGTATTGATACCTAATGAAAGGGCCATTGAGAAAGAATTTATTCCCCCCGACGGTGGCTGGGGTTGGGTTGTTTGCGTTACGTCCCTCTTGACAAATGGTACAACTTTCAGCATGCTCAACACTTTTGGCATAATATACGTGTATCTAATCAAGGAATATGCCAGGGGAGATCATTCAGTTGCTTTCAAAACATGTAAGTAACAAAGTTTTCACTAATTAAATTTATAAGCAAATCACATAGCAATTAGGAATCCGATGTGTTTAACCGTTATCGTCAAAGAATAAAATTGGTTTTTCCAACGCTATTTTTATTAAATTCATTCTAATTTTTGTAAACATTTATAACTGTATATAATTTTAAATACAACTTTTAAATTTTTTTTATTGACTTTTATTTCACAGCATGGGTAGGATCAGTCTGTATAGGTGTAACATTTTTGATGAGCACGTTTGCCGGTATATGCAATGACCACATAGGAATCCGACCAACAGCATTTTTTGGAGCTTGCTTAGGGATGATCGGCCTCTTCTCTAGTGCTTTTATCACACAACTGGAGCTCCTATACCTTACGTATGGCCTCCTCCTCGGGATTGGTGGAGGCTTTATTTATTCAACCTCTTTGGTCATTCTTGGACACTACTTCGTAAAGCATATGGGTATTGTGAATGGAATCGTGACGTTTGGAAGCTCAGTCTACACAATAGTTTTGTCTGTTATTCTGCCAATTGTTCTGGAATCGTTTGGAATCAAATATACTTTTCTTTTTCTTGGAGGGTTATATTGTATCCTTTTACCATGTAGTCTAACTTGGAAGCCATTGTTCCACACAGGAAGAAACAAGACCTTTCAGTTAAAACTGAAAGGCGGCTTTCAGTAACTTTTAAGTGGCCATTCAGCAACTGAATGGCACATACATTTCAGTGACCTTTCAGTTGCCTTTCAGTCACATTTCAGATACCTTTCAGTCACCATTCAGCGGACACATTTCCGTCAACTTGAAGAGAAAAAGGCACCACCAGAAAATCAGTGACCTTTCCATCAACTTTCAGTGAAAAGTGACCTTTCTTTCGACTTTCAGTGACCTTTCTGTCGTCTTTCAGTGACCATTCCGTCGACTTTCAATGACCTTTCTGTCTTTCAATGACCTTTCCGCCACCTTTCAGTGATATTTAAGTCTCAATTTAGCAATTTTTTCACTAGCGTATTATTTTATAATCAGATATTTTTCCTTAACAAGGAAGCAATATTTTTAATAAAGATTTATTATTCAATCTTAATTGTGTTTTTTTTTATATCGTGATCAAATCACCTTAAAATATATCTAAGTAATTATTTTAATTTTATAAAATATGTGAGACTTATTCAAAATGATTTTTTAATTTTCTAGTTACATTTAGAAAACAAAAATTCTTCAAGTGATAAAAAATGATGATCCGATAACCGATTAAAAATTTAAATATATGCATAACATTCTGTAGTGCTTATACGTGTATTTTTTCATGGAAATATATAGTTTTGATTGATGAGACAGAATTTATATTATTTAAACCATTTCTGGAAGATGGCAAGTATTACTGACCAATTTCGTTTCTTAATTATGTCATTGTCAAAACTGCAGGATATTTAGTTTCTGAAAGACATTATTTTAAATTCATTTTTAATTACAAGAATAAATAAATCGTTTATACATGCCTCTTGTAGAAAAAAATATAGTAGATTTTAGCTTTCTAAATGATATTGATTTAATAAAATCATTCTACTAAGTTTCTAGATAGAGAATTTACAATGAAACAGGAACAGGTGCCCGTCGCTGATAATTGTCATCATCCCGATGGGAGATGTGTAATTTTAGTCTGTCACACAATCCGCGCAACTAACATAGAATATACAAAAGATATACAAGATATATACACATCGTAGCTCCTCGATACAACAGGTGAACTGATTGTTTCATCGATTTCTATAAATTAATTGATTTTAAATCCTCATTTCTCAGCAAGAAGTTGTAGCGTAATCGATAAGGTCGCGGACACCTAAGCAGGAGATCAGGGTTCCATTCTGGGCGTGGGAGCAATTTTTTTTTTCTTGTATTAATTTTTTTCCTATTTTTTTTTATTCGGAATTAGATACATTTAATGCTATTATGCCAGGAAAAAGTGAAATAAATTTTTTAGGTAAAAAAATAAGCTGATTATTCAATAAAAAGATTCAACTGAATGAGAAAGGGTTATATTGTATCCTTTTACCATGTAGTCTAACTTGGAAGCCATTGTTCCAAAGAGAGACTAGAATTTCTCGTGTAGATACAAACGAAAGAGAGCAACATGGGGATGGATGTTGCAATTGGGCAAAGAAGTACTTGAATTTGAACATTTTTAAAAGCCGTGCATATCTTACCTGGTTTTTGGGATTCGGCATAGCTTTATTCGGATACTTTGTGCCCTTTGTACATCTAGTAAGTATAGTCTTTGTACAGTGAATACTATGTAAAGTACATCAGTGCTTAAAGTCTGTATTTTAATGATTAGTTTTTTTCTAAGCAGATCATAACTAAAGCACAGTTTTTTTAAAATATGACTTTTAATATTGAAATGAGATAATAATATTCCTCTTAAACGAATGCGGTGTTTTGTACAAAGATTTTGTGACCGTTACTTTATGGAAAAAAAAAACGTTCTTAGGCCGACTACATCCCTTCTATATATTGGTTGCAGTGTGGTCAAATTTTCTCACATTACTGTACCGAAATGTGTTTTAGACAGAAAATTAGAGTGGATACCGCTCTTTCTTTGTAAGAATTCGTGAGTTTTGAAAAACTTCTATTTGTCAATATTTTTTGAATTTGGGTTCTCTTTCCCCAACCCCCCTCTCCTCGGAGATTTCTTGGGTGGGACATAATTTCGTAAGTTCCATCCGAGTAGAAGATGTGTCGTCCAGGCATCATTTCTACATTTTTTTCGGACATCATCAGCAAGTTCAAATTATCTTGCTCCTAGAATCTTAAACAGGAGTAAAGACTCTGATTTCAGAATTTAATAATCAATTAAGGTCACTTCACGAAGTTTGAATTTAGTCAGGAATGAAGGACATAATTTTGAGTGAAATAGGAAGTACAGATCTTGTGAAGTTAAGGCTTTTATTTGCCTTTACATGATTGTGTACTAACATAAATTGAGTATCGATGACATATTATCTTCTTTCATTTAACATATAGTCAAAAATAATTGTTGATACTATGTTTTAAGGCCAATGTCTTCACTTTTACTTTTGAAAACCTATTTATTAATTTTATGTTAAACATACTCAAGACGTCTTTCCCAAATCCAATGCATTTATTCTGATCACTTGCATGCAAGTTACTTCGGGTGTTGGAAGATTAGTGTTTGGAAAAATAGCTGACTTGAAATTTATAAATCGAATTTACATGCAGCAATGTGCTTTCGTAGTGACAGGCTTCGTAACAGCATGTATTCCATTTAGTGCCAGTTTTGAAGGACTAGTGGCTATTTGTCTCATTATGGGCATTTGTGACGGAATAAGTGTATGTTTATTAGGTCCTATTGCCTTTGACCTTGTTGGTCCGCAAAATGCTTCACAGGCTATTGGATTCATGTTAGGTGGATTTTCTATTCCGTTTACTGTTGGCCCTCCTATTGCAGGTAAGAAAACATTATGTCTGTAGGTATGTGAATGTATTTGTATTTGTAAACTTTAAAAAAAAAAAAACTCTGAATTTTTAATATTAATAAATTCATCATAAATTCGTTTATTTAACAAAATAAAGCTAGCTTTACCAGGAATAATTTTCAGCCATAACGTTAATCTTTCAATGACCGTCATGCAAACCCAAGCAAAATAATATAATTATTTCTTTTACTTTTACAAAATAAATTATCGTTCTCTTTTTTAACTCATCGAAAGATTAAAATATTTGAAGTGTTACTTAGAATCGTACTCTATATATTTCCATTTATATTTACTTTCTCTGTGATAACTCTTTGGAAGTAAGTGGAGTTTATACCTTGATAATTCTACGAATATGTAAATCAGGCAGATCGATAGGTCAAGAGCTAAGGAGACCTTAAATGAATGTAAAGCTCGTGCACGTCTGTCTTTGCGTCTGATGCTAAGTAGGCAAAATATGAATGAAAATCTCTTGCGGTTGTCTTTGTGTTTGAAGTCAGTGGGTGAAGTCTATTGCAATTGACTTGGGAGTCCTCGTGTAATTTAATCTATTAGTCTAGAATTTTAAAATGTAATTAAATTTTTCCCGTACTCTGTTTTTTAAACTTTAATGTGTGTTTTGATATGATTAAAAATATATGCTTGTAATTTATGAAAAAAAACCAAACGAACAAACACAAACAAATACAAACAAAAATATCACAGTACATGTATCATTCTTGTAGGTTTGCTCTACGATCATCTACACACATATGACATAGCATTTGTCACTGCCGGTGCCCCGCCCATAATTGGCGCGATTGTTATGTGTTTCATCCCAAGAAAGGCAAGATTTTAATATTCAATTAACAAGTTATTAATCTAAAAGTCAATATTTCTTTTCTTTTATAAATATTATGTGTTTCATCCCAAGAAAGGCAAGATTTTAATATTCAATTAACAAGTTATTAATCTAAAAGTCAATATTTCTTTTCTTTTATAAATATATTCGAAAGACTGGTACATTTATGCAATAGTTTTGTATAAAGCAGTTTCTTTTGCAGAAAAGTTCGGAGACAAAAGAAGCACGCGCATCTTTTATTTCCATGGCGGATGTGTATCAGGCCAATATAGATAAATCAGGTGAGATAAATGTACATCAAGAGTAAGGCCATTAGATTCTGTTCTCCTTTTGTATTTATTATCCTATATGTTGTTACATAACATCATATAATCATTGCAATGTTGACCATAATATAAAATGCTATATTTTCTGACAATGTATATCATAGAAGTGAATATATATACACAAGTTCGTATTCAATTTCAAGCATCAAAATAATATTTTGTTGATGAACCTATCCACAAAATTTTTTCTAGAACCTAGAATAATTTGAGTAATGATACATGTAGTGACTGTGAAAGAATTCTCCAAATATATTCTAATTTCACATTACAATATTTATCTAGAATTGGAACTAAAAGTTGGAGCGTCCGATCAGATAAGAGACGAATTGCATGAAGAGGAAAAGAAGCTTTTAGATTCATCAATCAATGATGTAATATTAAAAAGAAAAGGTTCTATAGGATCTAATGAAAACATAGACAGCGCATCAAGACAGAATTCTGAGCTTTGTTTAAAGAATGGATTTACACCTTAATGGGAGTTAAGGGAAGTTGACGAATGAAAATATGTTATTCTGATTTCTATTGCAAAACTTTGCGCATTTGAATCAAAGGACGTCAGGTTTTCAGGTTAGAGTGCTAGTAATCTTAGGACATGGATGTTCAAGTGCTATATAATTTTTAATATGAAATGTTTACAGAATAGATTTGTGAAAGATTAGTGAAGTTGCTAAGATGCATTGAGAGGAAAAATAAAGTTTTATAGAAATGATATTACTTAAATACATGAGAAATAAATTTTGTTTTTATTTGTAAGCTCTCTAGCCATTTAGGAAAATAATTCACTATGTGAAAAAATTCTTGTTATATTGAAACTGGTACATTTATCTAAATTATGAATTTTTTGGAAAGTGACGAAGAAAATGTAAAAGTATTGATAATTGATAAGTAATTAATATTGACAGTAGTGAAGGAAAACCTCCAAGAGTATTGTGCAACAATGTATTCAGGAAGTGGTGTGAATCAGATGTGGATACTCAAAAATTCCAAAAAACTCTTGGACAATTTGAAATCACAAGATTTTACAAAAATCAACAGCTTAAAAACTTACCACTTTTCAACTTTATGCACAACCATTCCCCACGATAAATTAAAGTCCAGGCTTTTTGATATCACCGACAGGTGCTTTTTCAATAAAAATGGTCCTCGTAAATTTACTTGTCTGGTCATTGGTCATTTGCAAAATTATTTTGTTAAAACACATTTTGATTGCACACACAAGTACTGTGAAATTGACATCGAAAAGATGCTCGAGTTTTTGATTGACAATATCTGTGTGGTTTTTGGAGACCAGGTTTCCAACAATCTATTGGAAGGTCGATACAATATATCCTGTTGAGCTTGAAATAAAAGAGGTAGAATAATAGAAGTCTGACACATCTGTTTCATACTTGGATATTTTACTTGACAAAGACGTTAATGGTAATGTATCAACCAAGCTCTTCCTGATAAACGATATGACTTTAACTTTTCTATTTTCAACTTCCCTTACTTATGCAGCAATATACATTCATCACCTGCATTAAGACGTTTATATATCTCAGTTGATTCGATACGCAAGAGCCTGCTCTACACATGAATAATTTCTAAAACGAGCTAAATTATTGACAAACAAGTTGATGAAACAAGAATATTAGCAGTCTCCTTTAAGGTCATCATTACTCAAGTTCTTTGGTCGATACAATGACCTTGTTCGCCAATACAATTTATCATTGAGTCAAATGCTGAATGACGTTTTTCATACTTATTGTTAGTCAATTATTTATTCCTGAACTGACGACGAATTTTTCCGTTATTCCCCGATCATGACAAGGAGCACACGGCGGGTGTGACTGGTCAGCAGGGGATGCTCACTACTCCATGGCACCTGATCCCGCCTCCGATGTTTTGGAGGTCCTTGTTTGCTTTGCTCCTGTTTTGTATTGTTTTATGGACTTTGATATTGAATACTGTTCGTTATCTCCATATTCGGCATGTATTACGGAATAAATCTATCCATTTAATACTGCTTCAGGGTCAACCATGAGTTTTCCTCTTATTGTTGAACCCAGATTCTTTAAAACCTCAAAGTCAATAACACGAGTCACAATTGTGTAGTTTTATATAGATTTATCATGGATTTAACTTTTACATGAGTTTGGGATGTTTCCACCGCTGAAATCTGATTCCAACTGACAGTAATTTTCAACAAAAAAAAAAAAAAAAAACATAAATACTGAATGAAGAAAGAGGAATATAAAACGATTCACATAATAACGTATACCAAAGTATAAAAGGAAGTAAGTATCAAACAATTATTGAGTGAATGGTAACATTTTAGTGACATGTATATATTAGAATTAAAAATGAAAGATCAAGTGTCAATGAATATAAACAGAGGTCAATCAAGAGATTATAAATGAGATCAATTTTTGACTCTGCTTTAGGTAGGATTAAGGATGTACAGTATTAACACTAGACAAAATTGCTAATGCACCACTAAATAAAAGTACTATTTTACTTTTAAAACGTGTGCAAAAAATGAAGCAATTAATGTCAAAATTCAATTATAAGTACAGTGTTGATTGAAGCGTGACCATTTAAAAGAAGAAATGAAATTTGGAGGAATAAATTTTTATTTTTTTTCGTCGGTATTTTGTAATTTTGAAATGTATAGATTTGTTTTTGTTTTTATTTAAATATTGAACTGATGCAGAGTTGCCTGAGAAACTATTTATTATTTTTGGCCTAAAATATTTTAAACCTTTTTTAAGAGAAAGCTAGAAAACAAACATGCACCCCAATCCCCACCCAACACACACACCCTCCCTCACACACAGAGATCGATCGATCGATCGATCGATCGATCGAGAGAGAGAGAGAGAGAGAGAGAGAGAGAATCTAATTCTTTATGATTACATTGAATAAATTTTTTTTTTATTTCAGCAAACCCTACATATATTCTTTTCTTTTAAAACACAGATATAACAGCCTTTTTTTTTTTTATTAATATCCCCTCTTAATTGAGTTGTAGCCGAGGGGATGACACAATTGTGTGTGGGTATGTTTGTTTGTGGGTGATCGAGTTATTGCTGAGGGAAAGGAAGCGACGTAATTTGCATTGGAATTTGATTTTGAATTCTGCTTTGATTAATCATTTACAGATTCACTCTTTGTGAGTGCTTTGTGGTGCCATTGTTTTCTTTTAAAACTGTGATATTGCAGACTTTCCTTATTAAAAAAGAGAAAAGAATTAAAGGAAAACAAACACAAGCAGAGAGAGTACTTTATTATGCTAAGACAGGCGCGTATTCAGAATGTTTTTTCCTGAGGGGGGAGGGGGGTCCGCCCCAGTCAAAAAAATTTTTTTTTGAAATTTCTTGACAAGCAAAAACAAAAAAACAAACACCTAAACTTGCCCAAACGTCAAAAACCTATTTCGTGGCGGGGAGGGGGGGGGGGTCTATGGCTTCTATTGCCTCAAATCTTTCACTTTTCACACCTATTCGCGTTCACCGGGGGGGGGGGGTGGTCAGCGTTTTCCAAGGGGGGTCCATGATAACTTTTTTCTTGCTTCAGTATATACATTTTTTAACCTTGTAAATTCCAGGGGGGTTCTGACCCCCCCCCCCCCCCCCCGAACCCCCTCTAGATCCGCGCATGTAAGATATATCCATTACGAAGTGTCGCAATAGATAGTAAAAGTGACTGGTTAATCATAATGATCCATGCAATGCATATACATATATAATGCAATATAAACTGGTTACCATGCAGTTGTATTAAAGGCTACAGAAAGCACATAGCAAAGGTTGACTGATGATCAAAAGATGTATATTGTCTTAAAGCAAACAAGAGTGCAAATTAGAGGAAATAAAGAATGACAACATTGAACATTTACATGAATTATTGACTGTGCAAAGATAGATGTCATTAATAAAAACAATTACATGAGGTATTGAGGTGCACACAGTGTAGTATTTGTAAAAGGATTAATTAAAATAAGACTTTAATCTCATTATTTAAAAAAAAATGAAATGATAGTGATACATTCCACGGATGATTTGTTCATGCTTTATGAGATGCATATAATTCTGCAATCTATAAGTACTGAGTATGTGTGAAATAAAATCAAAATCCTGAAAGTACTGGGAAGCGCTAAGCATATTGATTTGAAATCCATCAGAATTATTTTGATTTAAATTTCCTGTTGTATTGAATTTTAAGCAATATTTTGACAGTGTGACAGCGCTTGGGTGAGCAAGTTGTTTGGAACATAATCAAATATGTTAGTCCTGAAAACTTCGCGTTGGATTATGAAATTCAACATTGTCTTATGTCTTTTTTTCTTCAGTCAAAAAATCAATCAATATCACATACATGAAATTGCAAGAAGATATTTCTCCGTGTAAAAATATTTTCTTTCCCCATCGCCTTGTAGGAATCTATTAGAGGTAATATTTGAGTATAAATTGCTATTTATTGGAAGGGAGATGGTAATCGAGTTTTCCGATGAAACTTTTAGAGTTTAAATGTAGCGATACAAATGCTGGAAAATGTATAATTTGAAATAAATTTGAACACTTGAAAATGTTGCTAAAATTCCTCTCATTTGCAGTCAACACTGAAAGCTAAAATCCTCTGGTGATTATTTTTAATCACAAATTCATTCCGCGTTTACGAGTGTTTCAAATT